ATTGAAATTTCAGTGTGCGTGTGCGTGTGTGTGCGTGTATGTATATATACAGAGATTAATAGTAACAACAATAATCCTGAGCAATCATTGCTATTCTGTCTTTATCTTTTATGTATAAATGTGCATATATATATATATGTGTGTATGTGCGTGTGTGCGTACGTGCTTATGCTTTATAATTAATTATAGCACATTTTTTGAGTAGTCGATCCCAGCGGCCAAACCATAAACACATTGATGATGCTGTTGATCGGTGATGATTGATTACTGTGTAGTGTATTCGTATTCAATTCAAATGTCTCTCATTTGTTTCTGTTATATATTTGATTGTTTGTATAATAAGTACACCAACCATATTCACAATGTGTTGGTGTTGGTGTGTGTGTGTGCGGCTTCTTCTGTTTTATGCTAATAATTGGCGCCCAGAATGCATTCATATATTTATATAAACACGTTGTACAATAGACAGATGCTTATATGTCTTGGTCTCTTGGTCTCCTTTTTTTTCATGTACATATCCCTCTCTCTGTCTCTGTGTGTGTGTGTATTTGTGTTCTTATAATCTTTATTTTTTTACATTTTGACAACAAAACAGAATTCACAAAATGAACCAAAAAAATAAAATAAAACTCATGTTTTCTTTTTTGTTCTGGGGGATCCCCCTGAGCACTGATGCTAAGGGCAAACACATCATTGTGAATGAATGAGCAGGCATAAGAAAGAGAGAGGCAGAGAGATATGTACGTACGTTGTTTCGATAAGAGATGAATGAATTCCAAGTGTTTTAACGACAACTAACTATAAATGAAAGCGGATAGGAATAATAGTGGACTGACTAATGAACAGGTACTTATTTTAAAACATCCAGGTTAATTATGTAGTCAGTTAGTCAGTCAGTCAGTTACAACGTAGGAGACTTTGTAGGTACGCACATAAGTTCAAGTTGTCATACAGTAAGTAGTATTAGCACAGAGACACAATTGTCGATTCAACAAACCCCATAGTGGTAGAGATAGTAAGAGTAATATTGGTAATGGAGAAGATTAAGGTTCCAAGATATATGATTCAAGAAGTATAATTTTAATGAGATAAATTTATAAGGAGAAAGGTAGTAGAGGTGATGAGAAATTAAAAAAGTTTAGAAGAGATAATAGGATTAGTTAGCAGTAATGGCGAAGATTTAAGGTTCGGAGAAATTATTCAAGAAGTATGTGATTCAGTGAAATAGATTTGAGAAGAGGAAAAAAATAAAGGCGATGAGGAATTTAGAAGGTTAGAATTTGAGAGAACACAAACAACAGTGGATGCACCTGTGTTATTGCAACCGATTTTGAACCATGTCGTTCAAGGTCTCTAACCATCGGTGACTTCGCCAGCACCTACTAACATGACATTCCACTCTTTTGTTTGGCCGGCCAGGTCAATTATATAAATAATGTATGTAGTAGGTGCCTTGGTTTAGGTGTGTTTTAACTTATTTCCTTCTATGCACCCAGTCCATTATGATCAATGTAGGATGTGTAGTACAAATGTGTCAGTGGGAGTTTTGTACTGTATCAACATAGTGCGATAAAGTTTGCTAGAATAACAAAGGAATCGATGATAATAGTATTAAGAAAGACTAAAAAACATTAGAGAATATATTTCGTTAATGATATACATGAATAAGTATTATAACATTATGTCTGTGTGAAGATAAAGAAAAGGCGAATGTATTTGTTTCACACTGTAATCTGCATGGAAGCGCTTCATCCAATCGCCTGTTGTAGGGACAAACATAATTTGCATCTACTCACTTAAGAACTGATTTCACTCATTTTGGACCGCACTTAACTTTATTCCAACCTGGTCATCCAACATACTTAGCATATGCCTCGTGCTTACGCTGTTCTACAAGAACCTGGAAGTACTGAAAGACGGCTGTTTCGTCTTAGTATGGCACTCGTCAGCAGTGCTCATCTAAGACCCGTTAAACCGAATTCTAACCCAAGACCTTCGATCTAGTGCGCGAGCGCTTACAAATACATCAGTTTTTTTTGAAGAATTGCAACTACTAAGGGAACTTACATATTAACTTTTTCTAGTATCAGCAAGACTGGCTAATTCTTTCGTTTCACGTTACACATTTTCTTGATATCATTAAAAATGAGGTATTGAATAAAGTATTTACTATCATAGTTCTTTAATACTTTGACACTGTGAATAAATTCAAACTTTGCGGCAAATAAAACCATATTCTTTAAATTAGTTAGAAATTTTCACAAATTAATATTTACTAACTAGAGTGTCTACAAACACGACACTATATACTTGTTCCACTTTTTAATTAAGAATGTTGGGGGTGTTGTTTCAATTGAATGTAATTATAGAAGAGGATAGTTATTGTTACGCTCGTCTCTAGGTATGCTTGAGACTATCACGAGTTCACCTTAGTCGAATAACGAGAACAGAACAATGAACCAGCGTCCAGGTAGGCTATTGTGATCCCTTGACCAAATTGTGAATCAGCAAGAAGTCTTGATATAGTGTAGAAATTGTATTCTACAAACACCCAGCCAGCAGCACACAATGAATCCAAGCACTCAAATAAGCGTTTATTTATATACTCTATAGAGACGTCCTTGGGACAGTCACAAAAATAGTACACTGAAATGACACAGTAACCAATCACAGCCAAGGATTTTCCTGGTGGGAAATGTAATCTCAAGGTCAAATAATCGGTGCATGAAACAAAACCAAAATAAAGATGTTTATCAAGCGAGTTCTGGGGATCTAACATCCTCAACAGTTATCTATCATACCAACTAGATCAAAAGTCAAGTGAAGTTAACTATCCTTAAGCTCGAAAATACTAATGCCAAACGATAAGCATAATGAGACGTAACGGTGTTATTTATTCGATATACTGAAGGGTAGTTTTCGCCTGAACGATAAGTATAGAAGATTTGATTGCATAATATCTTATATCCCAGGTGAAACATGACCAAGAAATATCAAGTAGGAAAGATTCATGAAAACACACAAGGTGTTACAACCTATAGAGAACATGAATATGTTAACTTTGTGAACATCGGTTTTTACAGTGTAATTGTGAGATGGTAGAGAAAATTTGTAGCTCAGATGGATGATTGTAGTAGAATTTCGTTTGCTGAGCTACAGACTTTGGTTATGGAGCTTTGATTGTACTTCGTCTGAACAACATCATCAGCACGAACTTCGGGTAGAAGTAGCTTGTTCTGATGTTGTTGAAAAAAGAAAAATGAAAGATCCAGCTCAGATGACGAACGATATTCCACTACAAACAGTGAAACTGTATATATTTTGTGTTTCAATCGGGGGCAGCAATTGAACGAAATTTTAGGTACATACATACCCGATATCTTAAACTATTAATTGCTTGTTTTTCCGAGCACAGGTTATCTTTCTGATTTCGACTGGAGAGTTTGCACCATATCGGTACTATTCAATTCAATTATTCATGACTTCATAAAATGATACCGCCTCATACTAACTAAGATGATAGTCAGTAATGCATTTTCAATCGAACTACTTCTATGTGCAGTGTATCGAGGTTGGTAGTTTTTTGGTACAAGATGTAATAATCACCTTCATAGATGAAAATTTGTAACTTCAACGACTATTATTAACTTACATCTAATCTTATTCAACTACTTACTCACTTAATGATGATTTCATCATAAACATTTGTTGTAATGCTATGAAAGCGTTGAAATGGTGGATCAAATTTCTAGCTCCGGTGGATATGACTGTGGTGGAATTTCGTTCACTGAGCTGGATGTTTCGGTTGTGGAGCTCTCATTGTTCTTCTACTGAGTAATATTATCAACACAAAGTTTAGATAGCAAAAGTGAAGTATTCGAATTTCACCACGTATGACTTGTAGCTTGCTCTGTTGACCTTGACCTTGATTAGCTCTTACTAACCTGTCGTTGTTGTCTGCATACCTATTTGATTCGGCTCTTAATCCTATCTATGCTTGTCTACGATTTTTCTGATTGGTTGATAAATTGGATCAATGTCGTTGTGTTGGTTGATTGTTGAGTGAGAAAATCCCTCCCTTCAATATTTGAACATTTTTCCAATCCAATGTATTCATAAGAAGGGAACAAATATCATGTCGTTTGACTGTTATCAAAAAACGAACACTAGCAATCGACCCCCATATTCTGTCTATCTTATGATTCGATACTTGTCACATTCGTAAAAGAATCCATCAGTCATCCATTTCACTGTTGTGTATAAATACTATACTATACTATACGGTGAATTGAAGTGTAACATTCAGATGACATAGAACATAAAATATGCATTATTCTTTTCTGGGAGACTATACCTAATACCGATTGTGTACTGACCAAATTGCTACATTACGGATCATTGTGGAACAATCAATTGAATGGAACTCACCACTCTACATCAACTTCATCGACTACGAGAAAGCATTTGATAGTGTGGACAGGAAAACACTGTGGAGGCTTCTTCGACACTACGATGTGCCTGAGAAAATAGTTAACATCATACGGAATTCTTATGATTATGGATTCAACTGCAAAATCGTACACGAAGGACAGCTAACAGACTCTTTCGAGGTGAAAATCGGTGTCAGGCAAGGTTGCTTACTCTCACACTTTCTCTTTCGCCTTCTGGTGATCGACTGGATTATGAAAACGTCAGCATCTGCAAGGAATCACGGTATCAACTGGACAGTTAGGATGCAGCTGGACGATCTGGACTTCGCAGATGACCTGGCTCTTCTATCGCACACGCAACTACAAATGCAAGAGAAGACGACCAGTGTAGCAGCGGCCTCTGCAGCAGTAGGTCTCAACATACATAAAGGAAAAAGCAAAATTCTCCGATGCAACACAACATGCGCCAACCAAATCACTCTTGATGGAGATACCTTGGAGGACGTTAACACCTTTACGCATATCTGGGCAGCATCATCGACGAGGAAGGTGGATCGGATGCAGATGTGAGGGCACGGATTGGCAAAGCGAGGGCTGCATTTCTACAGTTGAAAAATATCTGGAAATCCAAACAACTTTCCACCAAAACCAAAATCAGGATTTTCAATACAAATGTGAAGACCGGTCTACTGTATGGAGTGGAATCTTAGAGAACTACGAAAGTCATCACGAGACAAGCCCTCACACGGAACCCTCAAGGTAAAAGAAAAAGAGGAAGGCCAAAGAACATATTACGCCGAGAAATAGAGAAAGACATGAGAAGAATGAAAAAAATCGGAAAGAACTGGAAAGGGAAGCCCAGGACACAGTTGTTTGGAAAATACTGGTGGACGGCCTATGCTCCATTGGGCGGTAACAGGCATAATTAAGTAAGTAAGTAAGTAAGTGATAACCGAGAGTACCGGTGACGGAGGGAGGCAACGCAATCTGATTACTTTATATTAGAGTCAGTTAGTTAGCGACAACGTTAGAACTTTGCACCTACCTACATCAGTTCAAGTTGCCACGCAACCATATCAGCACACAGACAGATGAAATTGTCAATTTAAAATCCCTCTAATAGTTGAAAAATATTAACAATTTATCAGAAAACAACTAGGCTTCACAAAGAAGTATATAAATCCAGTGATTGAAGAATATTTATATTACAAAATTTAATTTTTTTTTTATAAAAAAAAACATTTGGTTTCAAAACATGGAATGATGATAAAACTTTTCTCTAAAAAAAAACGAAAATATGCATCTTTTAAAAGTAAGAAAACAACAAAAAAATTAAATCTTTCTTTGCGTTTATAAAATATCAAATAAACAAGTAAATACATACATACATACAAACAATATCTGTGTATACATATACATATCATCACATTATATCAATCAATGATCAAACCAATGTATGATTGATTTTGCATACAACGCATTGTTTAAATTCACAACAGCCGCGTCAATCGGTTGATGATGATCAATGTTCAATCAATGATCAAACCAATGTATAATTGATTTTGCATACAACGCATTGTTTAAATTCACAACAGCCGCGTCAATCGGTTGTCGTTGTTGGTGATCAATGTTCAATGTAGTACTACTATTATTAGTAGTAGTTTGTACAGGCGGTGGTTGTTTTTTCGAACCGAAATGATATAAACAACCAGTTTGATCAGTGATATATAATCCTTGACATAAAATTTCACCGAGATCTTTTGTTGTTGTTGTTGTTTGATTATTAGTATGATTATCAGTGTTATTCAATAATAATGGTCCAAAACACAATGATATGATACGTGTCTGTTGCTCATCATTCACTGGAATCTGTGAAAGGGACGAAACAAGAGCATGAATAAGATAATTTCATCTTGAAATCATGAATGAATCATTAGAAACCAGAGAAAGCATTGGAGGGCCATTTCGTCGTGATGTGGGTGGGACTCATTGCCAACAGTGCGTATCCACGACTCCTGCTCCTTGTAGGACTCCAACCAAGGACCTTCGGTCTTGCGCGGGAACGTCCAACTTCTAGATCTAACGGTGTTCTAACTTTGATCAATCTAAGGCTTTTGTAAAACCTCGAATTTTTTTTTAGTAATTACTATATTTTGCGGCACAGTTTTGGAGATTTGTGTTTGTACACATTTGAAATCATCAATCAATCATTGTTAGCCCAGCACCATTAGAAACCTGGAAGCACTGGATGGCCGTTTCGTCCTGGTATGGGACTGACTCATCAGTAGCAGTGCGCACCCACGACTCCTGCTCCTCGCAGGATCCGAACCCGGGACTTTTGGCATTGTAGGCGAACGCCTTACCATCGGACCACTGGGCCAGCACTCAACGGTGTTAATTTCTAACTCTGATTGATCAAGGGATTTTGCGCGACCTCACCCAGCATTGTCTTTGATAGTTACTGCCTACACCCGACAGGGTGTAATTATTGCCTACACAACACGACACAGTTCAACTCCACTGGTTTAATTATGCCATTTGGTTATTTTTATAATAAGAATTGTGCTTAGGTTTTCATAAGTCAGTCATTTATGATGTAGGACTTGGTACGTACATCTTTCAGTCCAAGTTGCCATATCACATTAGCACCACAGACAGATCAAATTGTCGATTCAAATCCCATAGTAGTAGAGGTAGTAAAGGTATTAGCGGTAATCGGATAGAATAGGGTTCGAAGATATTATTCAACAAGTATAATCTAGTGAAATATATTTAAAAAGAGAAAGATTGAGATGATGACAAATTCAGAAGATTAAAATTTGATAGGACACAAAGAGTTGATGCACCTGCGCCACTGCAAACAGTTTTGAGCCATGTCACTGAGGGTGTCTAACCATTGATTACTATCATTTCGCGGACCTCGACCAGGTGGTAGCCTATATCTACTAACATGACTCACTCCACTTGTCAGCGACTTCATGCATTTCTGCTATGCTTTGGTTTGGCCGCCCCCTAGCTTTTCTTCCAGTCTACTCCTACACTACAAAACATCGCTTGACGAGGCAGTCGATGGTTAGGCATACGCAACATATGTCTCAACCACCTCAACTGATGAAGTTTCAACACTTCGTCGATTGACCTGCCACTCTTACCTAGCACCCGTTTCCTAACGACAGCATTGCTTACTCGATTGTCCCAGAGTACACAAGCAATGGTATCTGGGGTAGCTGTGTGTATGTGCTAGTAGTGGCATAAGTGATAAGATCGATTCACGTATAGTGAAATCCAGAGCAACTTATAACAATCTGAGCCATCTTCTTCGGTACCTTTGTGATGTTAGCCCGGCTGTAAAAAATCGGGTCTACAATGTATCGGTGAGAGAAGTTTTGCTTTATGCTTGTGAAACCTGGTCTCTCCAAGTTGAAGATATTAGAAAGCTTACTGAGTTCGATCACACTGTTCTCTCCAAAGGATTGCTTTACATTCAGTGGAAAGACCATGGTAAAGTATAGCGGCGGCTCAGCGACATGTGTTCAGGCACTTCCGTGGCTTGGACATGTACTACGAATGACGTTCCAGCAAATCTCTTATGGCGTATCATTTGTCGACTCTGTGACTGGTTGGAAAAGGTGTCAATGTGTTTGTTGATTGCTGATTGACCTGTGTGCCAAGCTTCTAAAAATTCTCTACTGTTCTTTGTCCTTCTCCTATCCAATATTTCCACATTGTTCCAATCCATTGTATGTCAATAGTTATCCGAACCTATTGATAGAAGCAAAGAAATGTCAAAGCGTTTGAGTGCTAATATTGATGTTCACATAAACGAAGCGGAAGAGGCTGTCCACTTTGTCCTATGTAGTGAGTGTTTTTCACATTCTGAGCAGTTGTTTATTTTGTAGATGATATTTGATTTCTTCTTCCTTTGTCATTTTCTCCTTTGGTGTTGTTTACATACGATTGATTAAAGTGATTCTATTGGTTTGTGTGCTACATTGATTCCAAATGATTTCATTGATCGCACTGTATGTATGCTCCGACGATATGTCTTTTATGCATTGGTGAGATGACCCGTTTATTGGTTGACTTTTTTAAATGATAACATCGAGTTCAACAGAGTAAACACATGCAAAAAAACACAAAAGAAATTCAACTGAATATTGTGATTCACATGTCAAACGAATGACGAACCTCTTACTTACCATATACGTTCGTACTGTATCCAATGTCCATGAATTCAACCATACTAATCGACCACCTGGACCACCGAGTAATAAACAATTCACACCTCGACCTTCAGCTACCGTTGAAAATGCCATCGGAACAGGAGGATAATAATTCTCGGTGTGGATTTGTGCCAAAGGTGAATCTATCAACGGATCATTGATTTCAGCTAGGAAATCTAATATTCGACTAGCTATCCATACACCAGAACAAGAATACATCCCGAGCCAACAGACTAAAAAAATGGGGGATAATGCAATTGAACCAAAGAAAAGAACTATTGAATATTGATTGTACAATAAGTCATGGTCATGTTGGTAGATGTAGACTACCTGGTTGGGGTCCACGAGACGATAGTCACCAATGGTTAGAGACCTTGAATGACATGGCTGAAAATCGTTTGCAGTGGCGCAAGTGCATACATTCATTGTGCTCTCTTTGAAATCCTAATCTTCTGGATTCTTCACTACCCCTACCTTTGTCTTTCTAACCTTATCCGACTGAATTATACTTCTTGAATAATATCTTCAAACCCTAGTCTTTTTCATTACCATTAATACCTCTACTATCTTTATCACTATGGGATTTGATTTGACATATGCGTCTTTGTGCTAATATGGTATGGCAACATGAACTTATATACATACGTACGTAGTTCTACGTTGCAACTGACTGACTGACATCATTATCATGAAAGATAATCGATACACAATAGGCTGGAAAAAAGTGTGATGGGCCGGTCAAACCAAAAAACACATCATAGCAATCAGTCCATGATATCATTGACGATTGGACCGAGTCATATGTAGACTACCTTGGCTAAGAACCATGTGATAATTCATACCCGATGGTTGTGTGGCATTGGTGTAACTGTATTCATTCTTTGTCTTCTCGCGAATTCTAATCTTTAGAATTCCTCATGACACCGATTTATAATTACTTGAATTTTATCTTCAGGCTTACATTTTTCCCATAACTACTAATACTGTGATTACTTCTACTATTTTGGGTTTCGACTTAATAAATTGCTTACAGGATATATGTACTTGTATGGATAATTTTGCCTGCTAATTCTAAGTGCAGCCATTCTGGGGTTATTGCCAGTCCGAAGCCTGGATGATAAAAGAGGACGGCTGGGTAAGGAAGGCGTTAGTGATCTCATCCTGTAGAAGTTCAACTAGCCAAAAAAAAAGCGCTAACGAGAAAAAATACAATTCGCTGATCGGCGGTCTATGCTCCTTTAGGCGTAACATGAGTAATATGTACCTACTGATCTAACTACCATATCTTGGGACAGGATTTGATTTCATAAAATTAGCCCAGTGTACCATTAGTGGATATTTGATTGTAAATTTTCTTCAAGATGTAATTCAATTATGAAGGTAATGATTGTCAAAACAACAGCCACATATTTACAGGTGGCCAAACTAAAGTCACAGTTTTCAACTACAAATGTCAAGACAGTCTTATTGTATAAAGCGGAAGTTTAGCGAACCACGAAAGACAACATCTAGAAGATACAAGCGTTCATTGACAGTTGCCTATGGATTAGTGGACCACACATCATCGGTAACAACCTACCGTGTGAGAGAACAAACCAAATTCTGAATCAGGGAGAAGTAAGGAAAAATCGTTGGAGCAGAATAAGTCACAGAATGCGGAAATCACCCAACTGCATCATGAGGCAAGTCCGAACTTGAAGTCCTCAAGGTCAAAGGAAAAAAGGTGGACCGAATAATTTATTCGGTCTTTATGAATTTTCAAATAAAATACTTTGTAAGGTATATGTGAAACCAGATTGTTCGACATTTTTATAGCACAAATACTGAAAATTTGAAAAACGAAACTATACTGCGAAGAAATAAGACTTATGGAAACCGTCACTTCCGCGTCAAGTTTGTTTATTGAAAAGTGTTTGCAGATGTGAGGGCGCGAATTGGCAAAGCAAAGTCTGCATTTCTACAATTGGAAAATATCTGCAACTCCAAACAAATATCAATCAACACTAAAATCAGGATTTTCAATACAAATGTCAACGTAGATCTACTGTATGGAGCGGAAACATGGAGAACTACCAAAGCCATCATCCAGAAGATACAAGTATTTGTTAACAGTTGTCTTCTCAAAATACTTCGGATTCGTTGACCAGACACCATCAGGAACAACGTACTGTGGGAGAGAACAAACCACATTCCACTGGAGGAGGAAATCAGGAAGAAGCGGTGGAAGTGGATAGGATACACATTACGAAAAGCACCGAACTGAGTCACAAGATAAGCCCTCACATGGAATCCTCAAGGTCAAAGAAAAAGAGGAGGACCAAGGAACACATTACACCGAGAAACAGAGAAACAGATGAGAAGAATGAACAAAAACTGGAAAGAACTGGAAAGGGAAGCCCATGACAGAGTTTGTTGGAGAAAACTGGTGAACAGCCTATGCTCCATTCAATGTCAAGTGAACTATGCTGAGATGTTGGATGATTTCTTGCCAATTGCCTTCAACTATTTAAAAGTAATAATCAGTTGCGTGGGGAAAATGATTTGTTTTCATTTAAACGTATAAACATCGGTAAAAATGGGCACTTAAGTATTTAGGCACCACATATCAATGAATTTGTGGGTCGGCTGGGATACTACTTTAGTTCTCGGACCCAAGCAAGCGGTTTTCGTAAGAGGCCACTCTTTGATCTCTTGATCCATAGGTTTGGTTCCTAAGGTAGTAGAGCAATGTCAGAAAATGCAGTTCCATAGTAGTCGGTGATCAACAGTAGGATTTATACACCCTTCATTTCATCAAGATCCTGGAGAATATGTGTACACAATTAGTTTGGAAATAAGGTTTTCCAACTTCCCTAGATAGAGATCCTTTATGTTGATTAACTCGTTTTCAATTGTGGCTTGAAATTCGCTTTTCTTCCTCTCAATTTACGTAAACGAACACCGACCACCAGAAGAATACTGTGACTAAGAGTTTTCTAGCATTGGCCATATACGAGCGTTTTGACTCTCCCTCATTCTTCATCGTATCAGAGCATTTAGGCCAAAAAAACATTGCCGAATAGCAATGAAGGGTCATGGAGATTGTGTGAGTTTTATTGAAATCATGAATCTCTAAGCAGCACTAATGAGTAGTCCCATAGACTAGAACAAAACGACAGTCTTTCAGAGTTTTGGCGACAGGGATGGGATCACATTGATCCTTTGAAACTTTTACCCGAGCAGCAGCTGAACTAATGAAAATGTTGATGGACACCAAGCTGCATCGTGACACGATTATGGTGGATCAAGTCAATCTGACGTTGTGTATTGTATCTGTCAACTAACCAGAGTAGCTGTGTCCCCTGCTACATCCAGTCCACCTCACTTCAGCTCAATCCGATAGCCGATCTAGACTAGTTCAAACAACTAACATTAGCAGATATTCCATCAAACATATAAGAAGAAGCCAATCCACGACTGTTCCTCATTTCCGTTCCAGAAATATCCTCCCCGACAGCAGCAAACAACAGTCCAGATCCAATTAAACCGTCGTGTGTCGCTTCAATTTCTTCAGAGGGAGGTGTTAGGATATTCATCCAATATCCTAAGAGAATTATTGGTCAATTCCTATTGGTCGATTTCTATTGGTCAAAATTATGGTCGTTTTAACTGTCAAAGTCAAATACTTCAATGTTGTCTCTTATTGGTCATCCGGACTGTCAATGTCATTTCAAATGTTACTTCCTATTGGTCGTCTTAACTGTCAATACCACAGAATTCGATGCTGTTTCCTATTCGACCAAAATGTATAAATACGCATTATCAGTAACATTTTATGACCAGGACCAGAACCCGGTCCCGGATCCCTAGTTTGGGATCCTGATTCTCTTTGGGACTCGGAGCTCGTACTTTCTGGAAGCTTGTAGAATACAAGTTATACTTCATATTCAACTCTTCTTATTTTTACTCATTATGGGGGGGGGGGGTTGGGAAAATCGGATTTGAGTAGCATGTCGTGTCACCGGATCCTCCATTCTCGCTCTCTTTTTCCAACTAAGGTAAACTCGTAACATAGTTCAAGTATATCAAGTTGACGTGTTTACATGCAGACGTAACACAGAGCTTCCAGGTTTCCAAATGATTGGAGTCTAACATTCTTCATCGATTCATGATTTCAATGAACCAGTAATACATCCAAGTAAAACGATCAAACCAACATATAGAAAAGAAAAAAAGGTAACTACACTAGTGTACTTGTACTAATAACTTACCATGACAATTTGGATGATTCCATTTGGCAATGACTAATTCACCACTTGTTAAATTGAAACATATACCATCAATACGTTTGAAACCATTTACCATTGACACATTATCGTTGTTGTTATTGTTAAAATCAACTATGGAAGTATTGTTACTTGAAGTATCACCGTTCTTTATTTGTACTTGTTCATCAGTTTCATTATGCATGGAATCATCCACAGTAAGATGATGATTCTTAGAAGATCGTCTACGGGATTGTTTCAAGTCACTACTACTACTACTATCATTATATCCATTAGTAGTATTTGGACTGTTACGATGACTGGAATCATTCGCATTCAATTCTGTTTGATTCAATAATGCCTTATTCGTGTTAATTGTTTTAATCAGCGCCAGACGATATCGATCCCATAAACATACATGACCTTGATCATCACCGCTAGCAATTAAACTATGATTATGATTCATTGCCAGACTAGTGATTTCATGTCCAGCATGACCAGATAAATGTTTCCAACTGGTTATTTCCCATAGACCAATTTCTTTATCGCTATGAGTCACTTCTTCATTATTAGTAAGATTTTCAGTAGTATGCGTAGTAGTGGTAGTGTTGTGAGTAGTTATTAGTTTTGAATGTTTATTAATGTGGTGTCGGGTTTGCTTGCTTTTTTTCGATCGTGGTTTATGCCTGTTAGAGGTTCGAGTTTGTTTAGTCTCACTGAGTGATGATAATGATGACGATGCTATTTCATGATAATCCTGTAATAAGAGGAAAAATAACACAGGATAATAATTTGGACAGTTCATTGTTACTTTCAATGAGATTGTCTTCATCAGGCTTTACTCTCTCTCTCTTTAATATGCATGAATATTTAAGTGGTAAAAATGAACGATGGCGTGGTGTTTGACGAAGTAAATCTCAGCACCGATACAGAAGGCTCGACTGGCTTTCGGCAGCTTGCATCACTTATGATGCAGGCGAGATATTCGTATACTAACCAAAGGATGAGCCTGCTACGCAGCAGTTTACTCAGTCCTACTTTATGCCTGTGAAACATGGCCAGTAAGAGTGGAGGTTATTCGTAGGCTATTAGTATTCGATCATAGGTATCTTCGAAGCATTGCTCCATTTACCTTGAAACTATCGAGTAAGCAATGCGACGTAGAACTTCGTACGTAAGTACATCAGTAAATGTCGCCATACCACATCAACACAGAGATATAATTGTCAATTCAAATCCAATGGTAGAAAAGGTAGTAAAGGTATTAGAAGTAACCGAAGAGGTTAGGATGAGAAGATATTATTCAAGAAGTATGATTTAATGAGAAAAGTTTAGAGAGTCGAAACTAGAGGTGTTGAAGAATCCAGAAGATTAGGATTTGAGAGAACACAAAGAATAAATGCACCTGCGCCATTGCAAACGATTTTGAGCCATGTCATTCAAGGTCTCTAACCATCGATTATTATCATCTCGCGGACCCCAACCAGGTAGTCGACAACTACCGACATGACTCAGTCCACTCGTCAATGATTTCATGGATTTCTGACATGTTTTGTGTCTGACCGCCCCAAACTTTCTTCCAACCTATTCCTACACTACAAAACAAAGCTCTTCGAGGCAGTCGGCGGTTGGGCATACGCAATGCAGCTGTTAAGAAACGGGTACAATGTAAGGGGATGGCAGATCAATAGATAAAGTAGGGAAACTTCATCAGTTGAGATGTTTAGGACATGCGTTGCGTAGGCCTAACCACTGACCTGTGGTGTATGAACAGGCCGGAAGAAAGCTAGGAGCAGCCAAACCAAAACATGACAGAAATCCATGAAGTCATTGACAAGTGGACTGAGCCATATCGGTAGTTGTCGACTACCTGGTTGGGTCCGCCAGATGACAGTAACCTGTCGTTAGAGACCTTGAATGACATGACTCAAAGTCGTTTGCAATGACGCAAGTGCATTCGTTTTTTGGCTTCTCTCACAATTCTAATCTAAACTCTTCATGACCTTCAACTTTCTCTTTTCAAATTTATTACACTGGAATTACATTTCCAAACACTGATCTTTCCTGTTACTGCTGAGTTTCAATTTCCGTGTACGATAGTCGTGAATAAAGCATTACTGCGAACTCTCTTTTATTTGGACAAAACAGCCATCCAGAGCACAACACTGCAAGACTTCCACACTAGTGTCTGAACATTGATCAATTGATGATTTCAACTAAATGAGGCAAAAAAAACAAATAAATCTACTCAACCTCCACAAACATTACAATAACTCACTGATGGTAACCAACCGTCAATCGGTGAAATATCATATAAATTTGTTGGTAATTGTCTGACATAAATTGAACCGTAACAAGTACCAACAAACAATTGAATACCATGCCTAGAACTAGGTGAAATAATCAATGAAGTAATGAAAGATTTCCCATGATTTGATGCAATACAATTTGAATATGGTAATTGTAAGCGCAGCTCATTATTTTGTTGTTGATGGTGATATACTACTGATGTAGTGTAGTTAGTAGTTTCATCATCATCATCAGTGCCAATATTGTCGTGAATAGGCGGAACATTCAAAGTAGTAGTAGTAGTAGTAGTAGCAGCAGCTGGTGATTCTTTAGGTAAACGTTTGAGAAATATACTTAAAGTTCTATTGTCTAATAATGATGGTTTTAATTTTATTAAATATGGTATAGGAGTTGTTGGATATTGTACATCGTTCCCGGTACTGTTATCAGTGTCTGGTAGCAACGACACCCATAGACAAGCATTGTATTCACAATGAAGAATTTTCCAATACCATGATAGATCAGTTACTGGCGACAACGATGAAACACATTTATCAATTTCATGATCAATATTGAAATCAACCCAACCATTCCAAGAATGATATAATTTCTCAGTAGATATGGACGAGATACCGTTGAGTTGATTCGTATGAAGATGAGGTGAATGTGAGGTTTCTGTATTGAATTCACACCAAACAGAACCAATTAAATGACTAATGAATGGTTTCATTGAATTGTTTGATGATTCTGGAATGATGAATTGTTTTTTCCAAATTAATTCAAACTGAATATACATTAATACAAGAAAAAAAAAGTGATACGCATCATTATTACGTAAACAAATTAAGCATAAAGAAAATAGTTAACATCATACGGAATTCTTATGATTATGGATTCAACTGCAAAATCATACACGATGGACAGCTAACAGACTCTTTCGAGGTGAAGACCGGTGTCAGGCAAGGTTGCTTACTCTCACCCTTTCTCTTTCTCCTTCTGGTGATCGACTGGATTATGAAAACGTCAACATGTGGAGGGAAGCACGGTATCAACTGGACAGCCAGGCTGCAGCTGAACGATCTGGACTTCGCAGATGACTTGGCTCTTCTATCGCACATGAAACAATGAATGCAAAAGAAGACGACCAATGTAGTAGCAGCCTCTGCAGCAGTAGGTCTCAACACACATAAAGGGAAAAGCAAAATTCTCCGATGCAACACAACATGCACCAACCAAATCACTCTTGATGGAGATGCCTTGGAGGACGTTAACACCTTTACATATCTGATCAGCATCATCGACGAGAAAGGTGGATCGGATGCAGATGTGAGGGCGCGAATTGGCAAAGCGAGGGCTGCATTTCCACAATTGAAAAATATCCGGAACTCCAAACAAATATCAATCAACACTAAAATCAGGATTTTCAATACAAATGTCAACATAGTTCTACTGTATGGAGCGGAAACTTGGAGAACTACTAAAGCCATCATCCAGAAGATACAAGTGTTTATTAACAGTTGTCTACGCAAAATACTTCTGATTCGTTGGCCAGACACCATCAGCAACAACGTACTGTGGGAGAGAACAAACCACATTCCACTGGGGGAGGAAATCAGGAAGAAGTGGTGGAAGTGTATAGGACACAAACTACGTAAAGCACCAAACTGCGTCACAAGAAAAACCTCCACTTGGAATCCTCAAGGTAAAAGGAAAAGAGGAAGGCCAAGGAACACATTAGGCCGAGAAATAGAGAAAGATATGGGAGGAATGAACAAACATTCGACAGAATGGAGAGGGAAGCCGAGGACAGAGTTGGTTGGAGAAAACTGGTGGACGGCCTATGCTCCATTGGGGGTTAACAGGCGTAAGTAAGTAAGTAAATAAAGCATAAAGATTAGGTACCGACTAAAGGCTCCAAAATCATTTAAAAACCTAGAAACACTGGATCGGGAGGTTTTTTAGCCCGAGTAGGAGATTGATTGTGTTCAGTAGTGCAAATCCACGAACCCGCATTGATAAATGGAACCTGAGATCTTTGATCCCGGGTCAGAACGCTTTTTCGTATATGTATAGATCACCGAGCTGGAATCTGATAGTGTAGCCCAAGTCTTCAGTTTGACCAGCGACTGTGAGGTTGCTGCAGATAGTTGCTTCTGAGGAGTTCCATTTTAAAACGAAACAACCGTCCAGTGCTTTCAATGGTTGACTAACTTAGATTCGTCCTTCATCTCAATAAAATTCAACAATCTCTAAAATCCTTATACTGAAAATACTATTTATCAGAGTGACAGTAATCAAGGTTATATGCTTTACCTCATATGAGTAAATATAAAAGTGTAAACTGACACGAAAACCCATTATTCTAGTGATTTATAAGTCACAAAAATGAGTAACAAGTACGTATCCAAACACATATACACTTAAATTTCCATGAAAAGATTATCGCTTGAAACTCTTATTTCTCGTAGGAGAACTAAATTACAATTACACAGATTATTTGTTTAAAACGCGGCCAATTTAAGAGACATGTGATGAGGTTCTAGGCCACAAGAATCACCATCACAAGCAAATGGATCTTTGTTGGTCAGTCAGTCAGTCAGTTACAATGTAAAACTTCGCACTTAAGTACGTACGTACATCAGTCCAAGTTGCCATACCACATTGGCACAGAGATGCAACTGTCAGTTCAAACCCCATAGTGGTAGAGATAGTAGAAGTATTAACTGTAATGGAGAAGATTAGGATTTGAAGATATTACACAAGACGTATAATTCAGTGAGATAAATTTAGAAAGAGAAAGATACAGGTGATGAGGAGTTCAGGAGATTAGCATTTTGAAGGAACACAAAGAGTGGATGTACCTGGGCCATAGCAAACGAGTGAGGCTCTGAATAGAATTGAGGAAAGAAAGCGGCAATCAACATTAGCCGAACAAAAGCAGAGAAAGCCAAGGCACAAGTCGAATACACAGATACAAACAAGGAAGTGAACAGGGAACATCAGGGCTGATTAGCGAAAATATGTGAGAGATCTAGAAATGATAGCAGAAAAAGCTGCAAGAGAAGGAAGTAAGAGACGACTGACTATACGATATGAGGAAGAAGCTTGCTGAAAATTATATCGTAAATCAAAACAACCAGTGTAAAGCAAGGAAGGCAAACTAGTCACCGACATTGAAGAACTGCAAAGCAGTTAGGTAGAGCATTTAAAGGCGTCCATAGCACATGGGAGATCTCCAGAGGTAGCACTCTTCTCTCAATAGCAGGAAAAGTCTTAAACAGAGTGTTGTTGAAAAGAACAGCAAGAGACTCCTTAAACGCCCAACTTCAAGATCAACAGGCTGGATTTCGCAAGAATCGATCGTATACGGACCAAATATCAACATTACGGATCATTTTGGCTCAATCAATTGAATAGAAGAACTCGCCAACCTACATCAACTTCACTGACTACGAGAAAGCATTTGATAGCGTAGACAGGACAACACTATGGAGGCTCTTTTAACACTACGGCGTGTCTGAAAAAGTAGTAAACATTATATGGAATTCTTACGATGGATTAAACTGAAACATCGTGCACGGGGGACAGCTGACAGACTCGTTTGAAATGGTTATCGATGTCAAGCAAGATTGCTTACTCTCACCCTTTCTCTCTCTCTCTTGATGATCGACTGGATTATGAAGACGTCAACGTCTGGAGGGAAGCACAGGATACAATGGACAGCTAGGATTCAGCTGGACGATCTGAACTGCGCAGATGATCTAGCTCGCCTATTCCACACAATAATAAAAGAGGATGATGACATCCAGTGTAGCAGATGTAGAGACACGGATTAGCAAAGCACGGATAGAATTTTTACAACTAAAGGACGTCGGGAACTGAAAAAGATACGGGTATTTATAAGGAATTGTCTACGCAATATATTCGTCATTTGTTGACCAGACACCATCACCAGTAACCTACTGTGGAAGAGAACAAAGGAGATTTTAGCAGAGGAAGAAGCGCTAGGATTGGAAAGGACAGACTATGCGGACATCACCTATCACTGGGCAAGCCATAACATGGAATCCTCAAGGCCAAAGTAAAAGCGGTAGACCTTGAGACACGCTGCTCTGAGAATCGGAAGCAGATACAAAAACAAGACGAAGATTAATTTGAGTAGAACTGGAAAAGAAGGCTCAGGATAGTGTAGGTTGGAGGAATGTTGGTCGGTGGCTTATGCTCACACTCTATCAAGGCAAACAGACGTAACAAAGTAAGTTAACTGTAAAACTTACAGAATTCACTTGTGGACTACCTGCCCATTGACCCCATTTTAATCCAATCACAGTTTCTAATGGTGTATTATTATTATTATCTAGTCTAATTGGTGATGTATGTTGATTTTCATTTGTAGAAAATGTTGGCGTTTGTAATGAATTCTTATCATTGTCATCATAATCATCATTATTAAAATTATTATCAGCTATAGAAGAAGAATGATTCTCCGCAACTTCCACCTGATTTACCATATTGAACATTGTATCCATGGATTTGCTTTTAGAAATTTTGGCGCCAAATTTAAACCGAAACCATTTGAAAATGAAAAAAAAAGTATTTTTTTAAAGATTACAAAACGAATAAAATGAAGATTTTAATAGGGCATATAAATGAGAAATTTACTGAACTAAAAAAAGAATAAAATTTAATAATTCAAATCATGTATTATTACCAGGAATGAGATGCGGGTATCGAAATAATAAGCAGCATTTGATACAAATTAGAAAAGAGAGCCTAGGATATAGATGATTGGAGATCATTGGCCGGTGTGATCTATGCTCCACGAATAGTGAACGATGTACCCGACCGTACCCGCTACCTTGACGTGGTGGTCGGGCTTAACTATCTTCATGACCCAACCGAGCTATATTGGCTGGAACATATGTTCCTGAAGGTGTTCTGCTATGCCAGGCAGGTCGATTGGAGAGCGATGAGACTAAAAGCAGCTACTCAAGGTTTGATGGAGAAGTCGTACTGCTGAATGCAGAGAGGTGCGACAGCAGCAGTGAGGTGTTTCTTTTGGACAACCAGCATCTGCAGCAATGAAGCCTTCTCACAAGGAAGGAAGGGTTAGAAAAGGTCGACCCTAAAAATGTCACACCTCACCCTACCTCACGGATTTCCGTCTCCGGTGGTAAGAGTGCCCACTAAGGGCTTTTAAGAGCGGAGCTAATCCTCAAAAAACCTTTTATAAACACGCTGTGCGTGACCGGCCTCAAGCAGTTCTCCCTTGGGCTCTGCGGTCACGCAACCATGTCTCCAAGACCAACACTAATCTATCTTCCTTTTCAGGTCCCTCAAGAAACAACCTTCCACGGTGTGGGCAGCCGGGAAGTGATAACCGCCCTCATATCCGTCACAGCACACGAGACCAAATCGGTCAAAATCAAATCCTTTCTACACTCCCTAGTACCTCTCTTCTCTCCACAACTAACTCTTCTCACATTCATTTATCACACTGTACAGCTAATGCAAACATTGCCAGCTCACGAAACGTCATTTCTGGTCTCTTGAAACCCCGTTCTAGACTACATATTGGAACATTTAATGTACGGACATTGTGTGAAATAGGGCAACAGGCTTCGTTAGCTAGACCATTAGTATCTCGCTCAATTGATGTATGCTGCGTCTCGGAAACGCGTATACAGGAAGGATTCTAGTAAAAAGTGAACGGTGTAAGTAGTAGAAAGTAGTACGTTTATTAATAACATTGGTTGTAACTGGGAAAAAAAATTTTCATTTGATTAAACTGCACAATGGTTCTTTACATATTACTTGTTAGGATATTCATCCAATATATTCTAAGAGAATTATTGGTCATTTCCTATTGGTTAATTCCCGAATGATCAATTTTATGGTCGTACTAGATATCAATGTCACGTAGTTCAATGTTATTACTTATTAGTCGTCTTAACTGTCAATGTCACAAACTTCGATGCTGTTTCCGATTCGACCCCTAAATGTATAAATACGCATTATCTGTAACGTTTTATGACCAGGACCCGCATCCTTAGTCCGGACTCAAACCTCGTACATTCTGGATGCTTGTAGAATACATACTTCTACTTCATATCAAGTCTTCTTCTTTCATTCAATGGGGGGTTTGGACAGTCAGATTAGAGTAGCATGTCGTGTCACCAGATCCTCGATCCTCGCTCTCGTTTCTGATTAAGGTAAACTTGTAATAATCTAAGCATATCAAAATGACATGTTTACGTGAATGCGTAACATTACTACTACATGTCCATGAAGTAAACGAAGTATACTTATTGCGATTTTTCAATCAATGGACATGAATGGTCGGACCATTGAGTGAGCGAAGTCAATAGATGAAGCTATAGAAGGCCATCAATTTAGGTTGGTTAGAGGTATTATCTTTACCTAACGATCGCCTATTGAAAAACGATCAATGCCGACTGGATTCCGTAAAGGAATGAACGAATTAGGATCAGTAAGTACGTACTTCTTCAACAGGCAAACCCAGAGTACAATCCAATACAACGTACTGAAGGTGTGCCACATACCAGGAGCTATAATTTTTGTTAACCTGTAATACCTATAGCGATGCCTTAAAATTCGGTAGAAGGTGAAAATAAGATCATATATATATATATATATATATATATATATATATATATATATATATATATCTTCTGTAGTAAGAGGATCTTTAAGAATTTCAACGAGGCTGAAAAAGTTACGCTTTGAAAAAAGTGGGCTGAAATATGTTCGTCGCCTGGTTCACCATTTTGTGGTTGCGTTAGATTCCGTGTAGAACTCACCATTTTAATGGCGAAACGAAGTGATGAAGGACGGCAAGCCAACTTTAAGTATGATATAACGAGACTGAAGGAAAGACATATTTCATAGCATATTCAAAGGTTCGTCAAAAATTATCGTCGGCCACTACTAAAATGATGAACCCTACATCGAATATAACACAACCACAAGTGCTTCTAAACTCGCAACTAGTATTCACTGTTTCAATGCTATTAGTCAGTCAGTCAGTCAATTACAATGCAGAACTTCATACGTACGAACATAAGTTCATGTTATCATACCACATTAGCATAGACACGCAATCCTATAGTGGTAGAGGTAACAGAAATAATAGCTAGCAATAATTGAGACGACAAGAGTTAGAAGAAATGACTCGATTAATATAATTCATTACGGGGTTGTGAAGATTGTTAAGTTACACATTTTTTGAAACCATGAATCGATCAATGTCAGACCACCATTAGAAACCTGGAAGCACTGGACGGCCGTTTCGTCCTGGTATCGGACTCATCAGTGGCAGTGCGCATCCACGACTCCTGCACCCCGCAGGACTCGAACCCAGGACCTTCGGTGTTGTGCGCGAACGCCCTAACCGATAGACCACTGAGATGGTATCTAACGGTGTTAATGTCTAACTTGATCATATTCACGGAGTTGAGCAACCTCATATACAGTCTTCGGTAGTTACTGTCTACACCCGAACAGGTTGAACTTCACTGGTCACGTCTTCCCACTAGAACTCGGAGAAAAATTTTAAAAAAGAGTAAGATAAAAGTGATGAGGATTTCGGAAGATTAGAATTTGACAGAACTCGAAGAGTGGATGCACCTGCGCCATTGCAAATGGTTCAAGGTCTCTAACCATGGGTGACTTTCGTCTCGCGGACCCCAACCAGGTCGCTTACATCTACCAACATGGCTCAGTCCACTTTTCAATGACTTCATGGATTTCTGCCATGCTTTGTTTTCGCCGCCCCTTAGCTTTCTTCCAACCTACTCCTACACCATAAAACATAGACCGTCGAGGCAGTCGATGGTCGTGTATACGTAACACTTGTCCTATTCACCTTAACTGATAAAGTTTCATTACTTCATCGATTGATTTGCCATCCTTACCTAGTACTCGTTTCCTAATAAGCATACAGAGTAGATTTAAAGTCTTTCAAAAAAAACTGCACTAAGCACACTGCCAGCCAATCAGCAGCTAGTGTATATTCAATGTAGTTTGATTGGTTGGTTTATTATAACTTACCGACTCGGGTGGGCATATTGATGAAATAATTGTTTCGGTGTTTGACCATAATTATTAATCATTGCTTCAACAGCTTGTGCCAGAACTGGATCATCGATTGTGTCCACATTGATTGCACCAAAATATGTCTAAGTTGACAGTCACAGTAATAATAATAATAATAATAATAATAATAATAATAATAATAATAATAGTAATAATAATAATAATAATCACATATGATTGTAATTAACAAAAATGAAATTTCTTTTCGAATTGTATTCTTTGAGTTTATCTCATCAAATTATTGACAATTGAATGCTGGTTGAGCTTCGTGTTCACTTTTGATTTTCAAAATTATTTTAAACTAATTTTTTTATTCCCAGGAATTTTATTTAACTTTGTCTTCTCGAATTGTAATTAATCATGTTTAATTTTTCGTTTGTATAATGTTTTGGTGGATGCTACTCATTAACTGGTTTATAAGTAGTATGTGGAGGATCTTCATCTACTCTACAAGTGACGATCAGAGGAATGAGTGTAAGGAGATTGTAATGCATAGCATGATTAGAATGAATAGCAAACAAGAGGGGTGGTGGGAGTAGAGAGTGTCGATAACCTGCTTGGATTACAAATCGATAATTAGGGCGCTGTTTCATTCTCTGAACTGGGGATGTTTCGGTTGCGACGCTTTCATTGTTCTTCTTCTGAACAACATCATTATCTGCACAAACTTCAGATAGCAGAAGTGAAGTATTCGAATTTCCCCACGTTTGATCTGTAGCTTGTTCTGTGAACCTCGACCTTGATTGGTTGCTGTTGACATTAAACCTGTCATCGTTTGCACCTTTAATTTGATTGTATCCCCCTTTTCATCTTATGTCGCCTATGATTTTTCTGATTGGTCGATAAATTAGGTCAATGTCGATGTGTTTGATGATTGACCTGACTGCCAAGCTTCTAAAAATTCTCTAGTGTACTTTATCCTCCCCCTACCCAGTATTTCCACATCGTTCCAATCGAATGTATTTCCGTAATTGTCTGTATGTATTGATATAGGCGAAGAATTATCGTGACGTTTGACTACTTATTAGTGTTCACATAAACGAAGCAATTAACAAACACATCGACATCGACCCAATTTATCAACCAATCAGAAAAATCATGGTGGAGGATTCGTAGGCACATAGCATCTGTCTAGGCGAATCGGAAAACTTGAATTCCAAACTAATGATGTCCGTCGACTCCAGGATTCTGAGGTAACAATAACATATGGACCTATTGTTGCTCGTTCGGCTACATGGGACTGGATATCCTGATGCTGCTCCACCGCCCAACGGATTAGACCTGTAAGTCAAAGCCTAAGAGAGTGGGCTTTTAAGAAAAGTACCTGCTTCAATATAGACATTACGACAAGATCTCGAATAAATACAGCAATAATTGCAGTAACAGTTCTTGAATATCAACGATTAATATTCACTCAGTCAGCTACAACAAAGAACTTCGTACGTACGTACGTACGTACATCAGTTCAAGTTGTTATCCCACATTAGCACACAGAGAGATCGAATCGCCTATTCAGATCCTATAATAGTATAGGTAGTTGAAGTATTAGCGGTAATGGAGAAGATTGGGAATTTAAGACGTTATTTAATAAGTATGAACCAGGGAAATAAAGTTAAAAACAGAATGTCAAAGATGATGAGGAATTCAAAAGATTAGAATTTCAGAGAACATGAATATGCATGCACCTGTACCATTGCAAATGATCTTGAGCTATGCCATTCATGGTCTCTAACCATCGATCGCTATTGTCTCGCGGACCCTAACCCTTATCAACACGACTCAATCAACTTGTCAGTGACTTCATCGATTTGCACGATGTTTCGGTTTCGCCACACCTAACTTTCTTCCAGTCTACCACCACATCAGAACACACAGCCCATCGAGGCAGTCCCAACCGCTTCAACTGATGCACCATTTACTACTTCATAGATTACTAACAATACTAATAATAATAAGTAGTATGGTTAGATTGCGAATAAAAAAGAGATGAATTGCTTACATATGGATGATAAAGATTTAAAGCTTCTTTAGCATTTTGACCAGATTGTTTATAACCAAATATTAAATCAATCCATTGTGATAAATTAGCTGAGACATAATCACTTTCTAATGCAGCACGACAAATTAGAGTGAACAGACGTGGATCATTTTTACACCAACTGTAAATTAAGTAAGAATAAATAAAAAAATATATACGGAGAGAAAGAGAGTTGGGTATTACGTAACTGAACAGAGAGTGGCATGCTTGAATGCTATTACGGGTTCACCTGACTCGGTAAACGAGAGCAAAGAGCAATGACTTAATGTTTGAGTATGTTAGATCCCCAGAAGTCGCTTGATAAATGCCTTATTCTGGATTTCACTGACGTTTGCGAGCATGGGCTGATCAGTTGACCTTGAGATTTCATTTCCAAACCAGGAAAATCCATGGCTGTGATTTTGGCTGCTGTGTATTTTAGTGTGCTATTTTTGTGACTATCTCAAGGACGTTTCTATGATGTATAAATAAACGAGAGTTGTGTACTTGATTGTATTGCGGATTGCTGGGTGTTTGTAGAATAAACTTTCTACGCTTATCAAGTCTTCTGTTTTGCAGTTTGGGAATCAAGGTAACCTACCTGGACGCTGGTTCATTGTCTCGTTCGCGTTTATCGACTAAAGTGAACTCGTAATAGCTTCAAGCGTACCTAGTGACGAACATAACACTCAATGACACAATAGGCTATTCTAATCTGTTTCTCCTAGCGCAGGCTAACTAGATCAAGAAGTCCTTATAAGGAGTAAAGAATGTATTCCACAAGCACTCAGAAAGATTGAATTCGCTAAGCAAATAAATCGAGCTTATTTATACAGTGATAGAAATGTAACCTGTAGGTTAACTAAGCGTCTCTTGGTGCGAAAACACTGAGATTCAAAATTTCAGAAATGAATTACAAAATTAGGACCTTTCCAAGTGAGTTCTGGGGATCTACCGTCCCCAACAGAGAGTGTGTTAACTCAGTTATCAACAACATTGACGCCGACGTGTTTGTGCGATGTATGGAACAGGTTGTCATGTCATAATGGCGACAGTCATTATCATAAAAGTATAATTGGTTATCACGAGATGGACTTGAGAAAAAAGCATTCGCTAAGTAAATGTGGTATCAAGTAATTTTGAAATTGAAGATTGAAGAGAAGACTAGAAAAAGTGAATGCATGTGGTATCATTGAGACTGTATCTGATGGTTATCATATAACAAACATCTCATTAAAGTCCAAAAACCAAATAGGTTTGAGTAGATTTCATTTTCTACAATAAAAATGTGCATTATAAGGTTGTAGAGATTGTTGAGTTACTTTTTAAAGTCATGAATCGATGATCAATTCTAGACGACCAATAGACGTTTAAAAGACGGAGGTTTCATCCCGTTGCAGGACTCATCAGTGGCAGTGCGCGCACTTGTAAGATTCGAAATCAAGACCTCTAGTTTTGCGAGCAAGCACCGAACCTCTGAACAATTAGGCCGATTTTAATGCCTAACTCTAATCAATCTAAGGATTTCACGCAACCTCACCCATTGTCTTTGGTAGTTACTACCTAAACCCGACAAGCTTGAACTCCACTGGTCACGACTTCTTACTAGAACTCGGAGAAACCTCCTCATGGAATTGAACACTAGTGTGTACACAATAATTTGCATTATAGGGTTGTAAAGATTGTTGAGTTACTTTTTAAAGTCATGAATCAATGTTTATCAAAGCTAAGCGTTCACATGCAAGACTGAACGTTTTTGGGTTCGAATCCTGCCAGTGGCAAAGGTCGTTGATGAGTCAGTCCCATACACTAGGACGAGACGGCCGTCTTTCAATGCTTCTGGATTTCTAATAATGATGCCAATCTAACCTTAATATCGATATAATCAATGAGAAACAAAGGATACGAAAAAAGGTAACAACGTACGGCGGTAATTCCACATTGTCTACACTAATATCACTTTGTTGTAAATAGCCTAATTTTAATCCACTACGATTAATAAACATTTCTGGTTGATAATAAAATTCCGGTATTAACTCTTTGACACATGAAACTGATGAAGTAGCTAAATGCCATGTTATTGATATGGAATGAAATACACGATCTGGTACATCGAAATTATTATCTAATATAAGAGAAAAAAACAAAATAACAAAATAACAATTAAACTATATTAGACAGAAAGTAATATTGCATGATTATTAAGAAAGGATTTGATTTTGACCAATTTGGTCTCTCGTGCTGTTACGGGTATGATTCAAGACTGGGGGTTCCATCGGCACCTGAACTAGTGATAGGGAGTGAAGTAGTCGAACATGTAGACCGCTTCACTTATCTTGGGAGTCTCATCAGTGCTGATGGCCTGGTGACTGACGAAATCTCAGCACGGATACAGAAGGCTCGATTGGCTTTTGCCAAGCTGTGTCACTTATGGCGTAGGCGAGATATCCGTTTGCTGACTAAAGGACGAGTGTACTGTGCAGAAGTTCGCTTCGTCCAATATGGCTGTGAAACATGGCCGTTAAGAGTAGAAGATACTCGTCGGTTATTGGTTTCCGATCATATGTGTCTCCGAAGCAGTGCTCGTATATCGTGGGACACCCGAGTGAGCAACGCTGTTATTAGGAATCGGGTGCTAGGTAAGAATGGCAGATCAATAGATGAAGTAATGAAACTTCATCAGTTGAGGTGGTTGGGACATGTGTTGCGTATGCCTAACCACCGACTGCCTCGAAGAGCTTTGTTTTGTAGTGTAGGAATAGGTTGGAAGAAAGCTAGGGACGGTCAGACCAAAACATGGCAGAAATCCATGAAGTCATTGACGAGTGGACTGAGCCATGTCGGTAATTGTCGACTACCTGGTTGGGGTCCGCGACATGATAGTAATCGATGGTTAGAGACCTTGAATGACATGCCTCAAAACCGTTTGCAATGGCGCCTGTGCGTTTATTCTTTGTGTTCTCTCAAATCCTAATCTTCTCGACTTTCTTGACTTTCTAAACTTTTCTCACTGAATTATACTTCTTGAATAATATCTTCTAATCCTAACCTCTTCGATTACTGCCAATACCTTTACTACCTCTTCTACTATTGGATTTGAATTGACAATTATATCTCTGTGTGCTGATGTGGTATGGCAACATGAACTGATGTACTTACGTACGAAGTTCTACGTTGCATCTGACCGACTGACTGACTGATGATTATTAAGAAAACAAGGTTAATTTGTAGGTATTTACCAACTTGTCAGTGACTTCATGGATTTGTGCCATTGTTTTGGTATGGCCACCTCTAGTTTTCTTCTAACCAACCAACTCCTACATCATATCATAAAACATAGGCCGTTGAGGCAGTCGGTGGTTGGGCATACGTAACATATGTCCCAACCGCTTCAACTGAATATTTACGGATTGTACAAATAGGTGAATATGTGAGTGGGTTGGGATATTGTCTCGGTGGCCGAATTAAATAAATAAAACAGGTGGTTTTATTAGTGGGCCACTCCTTGAGCTCTCAACACATAGTTCTAATCCACAAGGTGTGGTGGGGAAACGTCAAGAAGTACAGTGTCATGTTAGTCTGTAGCCGAAAGTTGGTTTATTCGTTATTGTTGCGTCAAAATCCTGGAGTCGATGTATACGAGGGGTTTGGAATTCAGGTTTCCCAACGAATTCGAATTAGATGTCAACCGGACATTGACTTTCCGAATTTTTGAACAACAACAGTGTTGCGAGAAAGCATTGCGGTAAGACTGTTCTAACAGTAACTGTATATGCATAGCTATATGACATTTGTTTATGTATCGTGGATTGATTGAACTTGGGGCAGGAATATTGTTGGATGCCGATTCGATGTTTTAGACGTTAGGCATTCATGAGGTTGAGCGAAAGACCTCGTTTTGAATTCTCGCCTTCAGAGGTCTTGAATGCTAACTGATGATGAATCCTATACTGCAAAGGAATGTGTTACGCCTGCATGTGAACAAGTCAACTTGATATACTTGAACTATGTTTCGAGTTTACCTAGTTGGAAAACGAAAGCGAGGATCGAGGATCCGGTGACACGACATGCTACTCAAATCCGATTATCCCAACCCCCATATTTAGTAAAAAATCAGAAGACATGATATTAAGTAGGACGTGCATTCTACAAGCTTCCAGAAAGTACGAGGTCCGAATCCAGAAAAGAATCAGGATCCCGGACTGGGGATCCGGGACCAGGTCCTGGTGCTCATCATAAAACGTTACTGATAATGCGTATTTATACATTTTGGTCGAATAGGAAACAGCATCGAATTCTGTGACATTGACAGTCAGGAACACCAATAAGAAGTAACATTTAAAGTGACATTGATAGTCAGGATGACCAATAAGGTACAACATTGAAGTATTTGACTTTGACAGTTAAAACGACCGTAATTTTGACCAATAAAAATCGACCAATAGGATTTGACCAATAATTCTCTTAGGGTATTGGATGAATATCTTAACAGAATGGACGTTCAGTGCCTCCAGATTACCAATGATGTCATAACATTGATTGAAACTCAACAATTTGTATAATCCTATAATGATCATTCATTTATTCTGACACTCTGAACTTTACATTTGATACACATGTAAATTGACTCAAAATTTATCCTATTTACATCGAAAGTCAACATTTGAATATATAAGTGGATAAGAGATTTGACTTGGATCCTTAAACGTCATATATTCTTTAATATTATTGATTATTACTATTATTATGAAGTTCTGATGAAATTTTGAGATAGTGGAGAAAATTTGTAGCTCAGGTGGATGATTGTGGTGGTGTTTCATTCTCTGAACTGGATGTTTTGGCTGTGAATCTCTCTCAATGTTCTTCTGAACAACATGGAAGTGAAGTGACTCGCAGCTACGGGTCAAACATGGAGAAATTCGAATACTTCACTTCTAACTATCTGAAGTTTGTGCTGATCATGTTGTTGTTCAGAAAGAGAACAATGAAACCTCCACAACTACAACATCCAGTTCATATGAAATTTTGCTGAATGAATGAAGCCATTGACAATTCATATAATGACATGTTAGTTTATCGTTCAAGACTGATATAAATTTTATCAATCTAACTGATCTTCAGATCTCAGATGATTGAAGTCATAATTGGTGGAAAGTTCACAAATGCAGATTAATTTTTTGACAGTTAGAACTTTACAATAAGACATTATTTCATTTTTGCCTCAACCGGTTTGATAATCTGCCGGTATGACTGGAATGCAGAACAAAAACATTGTCACATTCTACTTACTTTATGATTTACTATATGTTAACCTTTCTGTTGGATCTTTCATTGATTTTGATCTATTGGTTTGTCGAGAAATTAGAGACAAATATTGATTCAATTTGGTCGCGCGATATCGCGGATGTCGTTGTTAGATTTTCGCACGGTTAAAGCTCAGTTCAGAGGTCAAGCAATCGAGTCTTCTCATACGAGAGATCAAAAGTCTTGTAGTAAGTTAGTTAGTTAGTTACAATGTAGAACTTCGTACGTACGTACGTACGTACAAAAGTTTAGATTGTCATACCACATCAGCACATGCAGACGCCATTGTCACTTCAAATCCCATAGTAGTAGTAGAATGAGTAGAATTATTATCAGTAATCAGAGAGATTAGGAATCGAAGATATTATTCAAGAAGTAGAATTCAGTGAAATTAATTTGAGAAGAGAAAGAGAGAGGTGATCAGGAATTCATGAGATTAGAATTTGAGCGAACACAAAGAATAGATGCATCTGTGCCGTTGCAAACAATTTTGAGCCATGTTATTCAAGGTCTCGAACCATCGGTTACTATCGATCTGGCGGACCTAACCAGGCAGTCTACACCTACCAACATGGCTCGCGCCACTTGTCACTGATGAGGTTTCAATACTTCATCTATTGATCATTTTCAATCTATCGATTTTTCGAAAAGCCAACAAAATATATTGATTAAATGTGGTTGCGTAACATCGTGGATGGATTTGTTAGATTTACGCACGATTGAATCTCAGTTCAGTGGTCTAGCGTATATATGGGCCTTCTCATACAAAAGACCAAAAGTCTTAGATGCGATCTGCGGATGCAATGCTTGTAGCCCTTCTGAGGCTACACTGCCAGTCAGTCGCTCCTTAAGCTCGGATAAACGAGGAGGGTTAGAGGTATATCGTTAGAGACCCTATATATATATACATATATATATATATATATGTCAGTCAGATGCAACTTAGAACTTCGTACATAAGTACATCAGTTCATGTTGCCATACCACATCAGCACACAGAGATATAATTGTCAATTCAAATCCAATAGTAGAAGAGGTAGTAAAGGTATTAGAAGTAATCGGAGAGGTTAGGATTAGAGGATATTGTTTAAGAAGTATGATTCAGTGAGTGAGAAAAGTTTTGAAAGTCAAAACTAGAGGTGTTGAAGAATCCAGAAGATTAGGGTTTGAGAGAACACAAAGAATACATGCACCGATGCCACTGCAAACGGTTTCGAGCCATGTCACTGAGGGTAGGATTGTGACAAAGTCACTGTCCTATTATTTTATTGAAAGATCTAAGCTATGTATAATCAATATTCCGAAAACAATTGACAGCAAAAAACTTATGAAAACTGTAAAAACAAAAAGGGCAAAAAATGCATTAGCAACTACTGTACCTTGAAAACGTAAATGACGAAAAGTGTATGGAGGCAGACGTATTAAAAAATGTAATACAATGGCTTCATTGGAACAATGCGCTGGATAGTGATGAATTAGTGGGGTTGTAGTGGTTTGTGATTTTGTTCCAGATATATCTGAATTGGAATTTGTCGTAGACAATGTTTTGGATAATAATTCTGATTCATGAAAACGTGCAGCTACAGCTTCAGCTCTGCTATCTTCTTGTACAGCTATTGGACGATCGAATCGTCGAAATGTAGTTGGTTGAGTTAAATCTAACACGGAACTTTCATAATCCTTTTAGAAAGAACAAAGAAGTGTATATATACATATATATGCATATTTAAACATCTTGGGAAACATACTTACTTACGCCTGTTAACAACTCCAATAGGGCATAGACCGCTGACCAATATTTTCCAACCTAACCTATTCTTGGGTCTCCCTTTCTAGTTCTGTATAATTAGTGTTCATTCTTCTCATATTTATCTCTATTTTTTGATGTAATGTGTTTTTTGGTTTTCCTTTTCTCCTCTGGCCTTGAGGATTCCATGTTGGGGGCTTGTCTTGTGATGCAGTTATGCGCTTCTCTCAATGTGTGTCCTATTCACTTCCAGCACTTCCTCCTGATTTCTACTACTGCCGGAATTTGGTTTGTTCTTTCCCACAGTAGGTTGTTGGGAAACATATGTGGATACTATTCGTAGACCAGTATAAGGTTCTTTAAGAGTGGACATTCTCGAACCCCCTACCCAACTACGAATCAAATTTATGAAATTTAAGTTTTGATTTCTAATTTTGATCAATCCTAGATATTGCTCAATCACCTTCCAAACGCTTTTTGCTCCAAGCACAAACGCTTTTGTATAGTTGGGGAGGCTCTGCCCCTCCTCTTCAAATGGTCTTAATATAGACACGCATATAAAGCCGCTGTTGGTCAAGTCCTGGTCATTGCCTTTTCATGGGTCCAGGTATTGTTTACAAAATCGTGAAGACAAAAGCCAATATCTAGATCTTAAAACGGGAGTTAGGAAATGCAGATTCCAAATTGATGGGAATAAATAACATAAGAATGTGTTGTTAGTCACTGGTTACCAATGGATTGCATTTCCTGACGTTTTTCTACTGTTTGATACAATAACTAAGATAGTAATCTTGTTCAGTAATTTCATTCATCATCTACGCAGCCAATCTTGCGTTGACTTTCCCCAAATCGACCAATGATGTCTTTCTCAGACGAAGGATAAGTAACCGGAATCGGTCTCGTCCATGTGCATTTATAAATTCAGCTGTAAAGACAGTTCTGTTTGGGCGTACTACCAGGCAACTTAATCAACGACTGAATGAACATCTCCCAACATGGTTAGTGTTAGCATATTGATAAAATATCCTAAAAGAATTATTGGTCAATTCCTATTGGTTAATTCCTACTGGTTAATTTTATGGTCGTCCTAAATATCAATGTCACGCGCTCCAATGTTGTTTCTTATTGGTTGTCCTGACTATCAATGTCACTTCAAATGTTGCTTCTTATTGGTCGTCTTAACTGTCAGTGTCACAGATTTCGATGCTGTTTCCTATTCGACTAAAATGGACTCAATAATACTTCGACGCTTAACGAAAACTCGTGAAGAGCAGATTAGAGATAACCAATCTGGTTTTCGACCTGGACGTGGCTGTATAGACCACGTCTTCACACTACGACAGGTCCTGGAACATAGACACACATTTAGGCGTCCTACAATAGTTGTTTTCCTGGACCTTAAGGCGGCATTTGACTCTGTTGATCGTAAGGTTCTGTGGCAGTGTCTGTCATTGAAAGGTGTACCAAAGAAGTACATTAACCTCATACAAGCTCTTTACTCGAACACCACTGGTCGAGGGAGGGCTTATGACGAACTGTCAACGGAATTCTCTACATCAAGTGGTGTCCATCAGGGATGTCCACTCTCTCCATTCTTGTTTAATTTTATCATAGACATGCTCCTAGAAATAACCTTATCCTCGTCCGGATTTTCAGGAGTAGACCTTCTACCAGGTGACTTGCTAATTGACTTAGAATATGCCGATGACATAGTCCTACTTGGTGAAGATGCTGACAAAGTGTAGAGTCTTCTGATTGCCCTAAGCAACAATGCAAGCATGTTCCGGATGCGGTTCTCACCCTCCAAATGCAAAATTTCGCTTCAAGATTGGGTTGCATCGGCAGGGAGTGAAGTAGTTTAGCGTGTTGACCGCGTCACTTATCTCAGGAGTCTCATCAGTGCCGATGTCCTGGTGACTGACTAAATCTCAGCTCAGATACAGAAGGCTCGATTGGCTTGTGCCAATCTGCGTCACTTATGGCATAGGCGAGATATCCGTTTGCTGGCTAAAGGACGAGTGTACTGTGCAGTAGTTCGCTTCGTCTTTACTTTATGGCTGCGAAACATGGCCAGTCAGAGTAGATGATATTCGTAGGTTACTAGTCTTCGATCATCGGTGTCTTTGAAGCATTGCTCGTATATCCTGGGTTTAGAAGCGGCCAGATAAAAAAAAAGCAATACGCTGTTACAGGTATGAGGGCGGTTGTCACTTCCCGGCTGCCCACACCCTAGAAGGGTGTTTCTTGAGGGACCTGAAAATGAAGATAGATGAGTGCCGGTCCTAGAGACCTGAGAGCGTGACCGCAGAGTCCAAGGGACAACTGCATGAGGCCAGTCACGCATGACCTTTTTATGAAAGGTTTTTTGAGTATTAGCTCCGCTCTTAAAAGCCCCTAGTGAGCACCCTTACCGATGGAGACAGAAATCCGGGGGGTAAGGTAAGGTGTGACATTTTTAGGGTCGACCTTTTCTAACTAACCCCTTCCCCTTCCTTGTTAGAAGGCAGCATCACTGCAAATGCTGGTTGTCGGAGGGAAACACCTCACTGCTGCTGTCACACATCTCTGCAGTCAGCAGTACGACTTCGCCTTCAGACCTTGAGTAGCTGCTTTAAGACTCATCGTTCTCCAATCGACCTGCTTGGCATAGTAGGACCTACAGGAACATATGTTCCAGCCCATATAGCTCGGTCTGGAGGACGTTAACACCCTTACATATCTTAGCAGCATAATCGACAACCAAGGTGGATCCGATGCAGATGTGAGGGCACGGATTGGCAAAGCAAGGGCTGCATTTCTACAGTTGAAAAATATCTGCAACTCCAAACTACTTTTAAACAAAACCAAAATCAGGATTTTCAATACAAATGTCAAGACAGTTCTACTGTATGGAGCGGAAACATGGAGAACTACCAAAGCCATCATTCAGAAGATACAAGTATTTATTAACAGTTGTCTTCGGAAAATACTTCGGATTCGTTGGCCAGACACCATCAGCAGCAACGTACTGTGGGAGAGAACAAACCACATTCCACTGGAGGAGGAAATCAGGGAGAAGTGGTGGAAGTGGATAGGACACACATTACGAAAAGCACCGAACTGTGTCACGAGACAAGCCCTCACATGGAACCCTCAAGGTAAAAGGAAAAGAGGAAGGCCAAGGAACACATTACGCCGAGAAATAGAGAAAGATATGAGAGGACTGAACAAACATTGAACAGAACTAGAGAGGGAAGCCCAGGACAGAGTTGGTTGGAGAAAACTGGTGGGCGGCCTATGCTCCATTGGGGGTAACAGGCGTAAGTAAGTAAGTAAGTAATATAGCTCAGTCGGATCATCACGATAGGCAAGCCCGATGTTATCTGATGGAAATATTTTTCCAAAATCATAAAAAATCGAAAAACTTACACGTAGAATCCATGGAAATATAGGATATTGCATTAAATCATTATAACTTCGACCGGACAATGTATTTAATTTCATTAAATAATCAAAATTGGTCAATTCATTATTTAACCAGTCTTGTTGTAATTGATGATGTGTTTTGTTTGAATGATGAAATATTGAATATTGACGAGTTAATTTGTGCGGATTCAATGTTTCCAATGGTTTAGATTGATTTATCACCATTGGTGAATCAGGATGATGATGATGATGATGACGACGACGATCAATTAAAGGAGTAATAGTTTCAATAAAATGATCTCGATCCTATGATTGGGTCAGAAAAATAGCAAGAAATTATTTAATTTTTCTACGATGAAATGATTCAAAATATATAAAATGGCGGAATTCAAATACTCAATGTTTTGGTACAGTGGAGAGTGAAGAGAGTCTCTTCTATCGTTAACTCTCGATATGTTCTCATATCAGTATGTGTATATAGACACTGTTAGCGAAGTCCTGCTTATCACCTTCAATGTAACAGAGGTATTGTCGATCAAAATCGAGAAAATGGAAGGACAGTGTCCAGTTAGCGTCTAAACCGGATTGGTGTGCACCAGGACATCACCCAAACCTATGGTGCATATTATTGACTCCAGGATTCTGAGACAATAAATAGCGTACAAACTTATTGTTGGTCACCAGCTGCTACCCGTGACAACAAATCCTGACATCGCTAAACTGCCTTGTGGACTATGTCTCTTGATCAAAGGCTCGGGGAATGGATTCCGAAGAAAGTCACTAGTTTCAGTTTCGTCACCACCCGTGCAGTAGTATCACAGAACACACACACAAACTAAGCGATGACTATAACGGGAAAATTTCATACTCACTTCAATAGTCTTTATTAAAAATGTGTATATGCAATTATTTGATAACATTCGTTTTTTAATTTATATATCCTTACTTAGTTACTTCTTTATTCCTCCAATTTTTGGTATTCCTTACACTTTAACTCAGACAGTAACTTATCTACGGTAGAAATCTTTTCTTATCTAAACAATTTCAAGTCATAAATAAGTCGAAATTCGAATGCTACCACTGAATACAAATTCTCAATCAACCTTTGCGAAACCACGTTTACTAATCAAACTGACATTTTACAACTTTCGCATACTGATACAGATCGGACAACATAGATGGTTGGTTGTATCTTTAGAAAGTCTGAGCAAAGAGGTATGTTGTAGTTTATCTGTGACGTACCAGAAATTCGTCTGCCAATTCGAAAAGTTTGTTTTGCATGTATTTATCTGTACATGCCGTTCAGTCTTCGTCAGATCTTAGTAGTGTTAGGGTCGCATTAAGTGCAAAAGCCGAGGCAGCTCTAAACGATTATGCTCTGTTACATAAGAAAGCTTCATTAAAATGAAGAGAGAAATCTAATGCCTTTTAGTTATCACAGCATGTACTATATAACTCACTATACTTAGTACAGTTATATGACAAATATAAAAAATCTCAACGATTATTTCTTAAAATTCAGTTGAAAATGATTTGCTCGTCACTTGATATACTTGAATGCTATTACGAGTTCATCTTAGTCCGGTAAACGACAGCGAAGACAAATGGCCCAGTGACACGATAGGCTACTCTAATCCAAGTGTTCCAATGACCCACTAAGCAGAGGAAGAAGTCTTGATATATGACGTAGAAAGTGTATTCTACAAGCCCCCAGAAAATATGAGGTTCAAAAGCACACAAATTGAGTTTATTTATACATGACAGAAACGTCCTTGGGAGAGCCACAAAAATAGCGTACTAAAATAATACATCAACCAATGACGGAAAAGGATTTTCCGAGTGGGAAATGTAATAATCTCAAAGTCAACTGATTAGCCCATGCTCGAAAACATAAAAATCCAAATTTAGGACCTTTATCAACTGAGTTCTGGGGATCCCCAACAGAGAAAAAGATTAATTTCATTCAATAATAATAATAATAATAATAATTTTGGGGCAGAGTTTTGGAGGTTTGTGTTTTTTTTACACACTTGAAATCATCAATCAATCAATCATTGTTAGACCAGCACCATTAGAAGAAACCTGGAAGCACTGTAAGACGGCCGTTTCGTCCTGGTATGGGACTCACCACCGTTGGATGCTGCCGCCCAGTGGTCCAATGGTTAGGCGTTCGCGCACAATACCAAAGATCCTCGGTTCAAATCCTGCGAGGTGCAGGAGTCGTGGATGCGCGCTGCCACTGTTGATGAGTCCCATCCATACCAGGACGAAACGGCCGTCATTCAGTGCTTCCAGGTTTCTTCTAATGGTGGTCTAACAATGACTGATTGATTGATGATTTCAAATGTGCAATATTAATGATAATAATAATAACAACCCTTACTTTCGATGAATACATAGCAAACAGCATTGGTATATTCCCACTACTTTCATCAGGAAATATTTCCACTGCTAAATCACGTAATGAATAACGACGTAATTCAATATGATGAATTGATTTGAAAGACCAAGCAAACCATAGCCGATTTGAAAGACACTGATAAGGATATAATGATTCCTAAATAAAATCAAATAAAATAAAATGATTCGACATTCTGAATTGGAGAAAAAGCTCGAAAAAAAAGAAAATCTTGAACTCCAAAATAGATATTATATCTGAAGGAGAAGTCGTACTGATGCTGACTATAGAGGGATGTGATAGTAACAGTAAAGTGTTTCCCTCAAACCACCAGTATAAGCAGCGATGATGAGGGTTGGAAAAGGTTAACTCTGAAAATGTCATACGTTACTTTACCTCACGGATTTCTGTCTCCGTCGGTAAGGCCTATTCAGGACGAGACATTGCCATACAGAATGTCTTGCACGACCGGCCTGAATCAATTGTCTCTTAGGCTTTGTGGTTACGCTCCCATATCGTTAAGAACAACGCTAATCCTGTAGTATGTAACTTTGATTAAACAAGTTATTCATTATTAAAACTATTCAATAGACAATTCACTGAGGTTTTCTGTGAAGATTTATGTGAATCAGACAAAACAGGAGAAATTATTAATTGCGGTGGTGGTGTTTCGTTTTCTCTGAGCTGTAAGTTTTTGAACAACAACATCGTTATCTGCATAAACTTCAGGTAGAAGAAGTGAAGTATTCGAATTTCTCCACACACATGACCTGTAGCTTGTTCTGTGAACCTCGATGTTGATTGATTGCTGTTGACCTCAAACATGTCGTTGTTCGCACATTTGTTTTGATTGTATTATCCCCCTTTTTTGATCTGTTTCTTGATTCTTATGTCACCTATGATTTTCCTGATTGGTTGATAAATTACTGATTGACCTGAGTGCTAAGCTTCTAAAAATTATCTAGTGTTTTTTGTCCCCCGCCCCTACCCAGTATTTCAACATTGCTCCAATCGAATATATGTCTATAATTGTCGGTGTGCATGAAATGAGCGAAGAATTGTCGTGGTGTTTACGTAAACGAAGCTGAAGAGGCTGTCCACTTTGTCCTATGTAGTGTTTTTCACAGTGTGAGCAGTTGTTTACTTTGTAAATGATATTTGGTTTTATCTTCTTTTGTCATTTTGTCCTTCCGGCGGTGTGTACATAGAATTGATTGAAGTGATTCTGTTGGTTTGTATGCCACAACTTTATCAAATGGTTCCAGTAGTCGTGCTGTATGCTATGATATGTCTTTGATGTATGGCAGGATGATCCGTTTATTGGTTCGTGTACTTGATTTCGCTTGTGTTGACGATTTCGGTTGATGTTTTCTGGTGAAGTTACATGGATAGCCGTTCTTTTGGAAAATAGTTATAAGATGTTTTTCCTTGTTTTTTAGTACTTCATAAGTACTGCTGCAGTGTGTCTTCACTCTCTTGAACAAAGTTTGTGTGCAGTTGTTTTTTTGGGGTTAGATCAATGCTGGACCACCGATAGAAATCTGGAAGCAATGGAAGGCCCTTACATTCTGGGTATGGGACTCACAGGTCCAGAGGTTAGGCGTTCTCTCCTAGTGTGGTGCGCGCTACTTATAAGTAGTATATGACGGGAGTGTAAACGTAATGTCTGGCAGCAGAATATGGGGGAACATCAAGAAAGGAAGAGTGGGAACACAATGGAATTTGTATGAAACGCATGAATAAGTGAAATGTCACACAATGGATTGATGATTGATTGAAGATTTGCAAATTAACAGTCACGATATGGTTTTCCCCGATTTTACTGAGTAACTCTGTAATTTGTGATAAAATACAATTCGGTTGGCCCCACCTGTGTTCTCCTTCACTACGCTAGGTACCAATCTTGCGAGTTGCAGGAATTATGGATGCGTACTGCTGACGAGTCTCATACCAGACAGGATGAAACGGCTGTCTTTTGGTGCTTCTAAGTTTCTAATGATGGTATAACATTGATCGATTTATGATTTCAAAAAGTAACTCAACAATGTGGTCGCAATAATATGACCAGCTTATACATGGATTGTTCATGGTGAAACTTCATCAGTTGAGGTGGTTGGGACATGTGGTACGTATGCCTAACCACCGACTGCCTCGACGAGCTTTGTTTTGTAGTGTATGAATAGGTTGGAAGAAAGTTAGGGGCGGCCAAACCAAAACATGGCACAAATCCATGAAGTCATTGATGAGTGGACTGAGCCATGTCGGTAATTGTCGACTACCTGATCGGGGTCCGCGAGATTATAATAATCGATGATTGAAAACCTTGAATGACATGGCTCAAAATCGTTTGCAATGGCGCCAGTGCATTTATTCTTTGTGTTCTCTCAAATCCTAATCTTTTGGATTCTTCAACACCTCTAGTTTTGACTTCCTAAACTTTTCTCACCGAATCATACTTCTCGAATAATATCTTCTAATCCTAACCTCTCCGATTACTTCTAATTCCCTTACTACCTCTACTACTATTGGATTTGAATTGACAATTGTATCTCTGTGCTGATGTGGTATGGCTACATGAACTGATGTACTTACGTACGAAGTTCTACGTTGCAACTGACTGACTGACATGGCTTGTTCAAGCCTTTAGACAAATTAATTAATCCACTCTTCTCGAGTTATTATTCACACATCGTTCGAATTTACACTGGATTATACCTCTCGAATCGTTTCTTCAAACCCAAATCTTTATTATCGTTAATACTGTGGTGCGAGCTACTTATAAGTAGTATATGACGTGAGTGTCAATGTAATGTCTGGCAGCAGAAGATGGGGGAAGATCAAGAAAGGAAGAGTTAGAAAACAATGGAATTTGTATGAAACGCATGAATAGTGACAATGGATTAATGTTTTGCAACAGGAACAGTCCAGTTCGATAGGATGAACTGATATTTTGCAAATGAACGATTTACGATATGGTTTTCCGATTTTACTGAGTCACTATGTAATTTCCGTTAAATACAACTCGGTTGCCCCACCTGTGTTCTCGTTCACTACAATACTACTACCACATTTGCTAACTGTAGGATTTGAATTATCAGTCCCCCCCCACTCTCTGTACTGATGTGATATGGCGACTAGAATTAATAAAGTACGTACGTACGTACGAAGTTCTACGTTGTAACTGACCGACTGACTGACTGACTGATTTTCAACTTTGTTAATTATCCACTCATAATCTTAGTTGTTTTTACTTGAGTGCCTATGTGCATATATGACTATAACTACTTAGTCATGCCTCATCAAATTGAGTTGGTTCATTTGCCTTCTACACTTTAGTTTTTCAGTTTTTATTCTCATGTTTGTTCGCGTGAAACGATTGGATGAAATAAACTCATCTAATTGGATCGGCTTCTGATATACTGCCGTCGCACAAACGATTTTCGTCTAAGAATCAATGATATGTGAAATGGAGGAGAAGATTTGTAGCTCAGGTGGATTATTGTGGTGGTGGTGTTTGGTTCTCTGAGCTGGTTGTTTTGGTTGTGGAGCTTTCATTGTTCTTCTGCTGAACAACATCATCAGCATAAACTTCAGATAGAAGAAGTGAAGCATTCGAATTTCTCCACACACATGACCTGTAGCTAGTTCTGTTGACCTCGATCTTGAATGGTTGCTGTTGACCTTCAAACTGTCGTTGCTTGCACCTTTGTTTTGATTATATCCCCCTTTTGATCTATTTCTTGATCATATGTCACCTATGATTTTCCTGATTAGTTGATAAATTGAGTCAATGTCGATGTGTTTGTTGATTGCTGGTTAACTTGACTGTCAAGCTTCTAAAAATTCTCTAGTGTTATTTATCCTCTCCCTATTCATAGCACATTCAATCATTCGTACAAATTGAAGTGAGATAGTAGGCTACAAATAACTTTTTCGTTTTTCTAGAAAATACTGAAATTTTCAAAATGTAAACCAAATTGAAATAATGATAATAAACTTACAATTTCAATCAATTGCGTTTTACTACTATTATTGTTATCAGTAGTATTATTATCATTATTCATTAATAAATTTCTATGCATAAATGGATCCGGTTGAAAACGTAACCATGATTTACCGATTATAATTAAATCGCCTTCAATGTATGGTATATGTAGAAGACCAATTAAACGACATGGCCAAACAGTTTGTATATAACATTGACTAACTGATGCTAGTTGTATTAATGGTATAGAAGATAATGGTAAACATAACGGTAAATCAAACCATGTACAAGCGGAACCTTGTGTAGAGGTGATTAGATTTGTTTTTGATGGTAAACCAATCAACGAAGCAATTTGATGTGGAGGATGTGTGGATACTGTGTAAAGAATAGAAAATTGATAATTAGCAGAGGTGGCATATGTGGCTAGCAGAAGAATTAAAAAAGATGCGTGGTTCATCTTATTTCGGACTGTTCAGTTGGATATATGAGCGTCCTGAATTCGAGTGTTAGCAATTACGTGTGTGTCTACTAATAACTTAAAGACAATATGGAGGTCATTCTCATTGGATGCATCTTTGCCGAAGAGACTGATCTATTGCAGTTCTTAACAACAATTAGAAGATACAAGCAACTATTCGGTCTGGCTCCTTAAACCGCTCAGCCAGTTTCAACGTTTTTTGAAGACAATGACAAAATGCAGAGTCTTCTGACCACCTTCCGCAGCGATTCCAGAAAGTTCGAGATGCGGTTTACCCCCCCCCCCGAAATGCAATATGTTGTTTCAAGATTGGGTTTCATCGGTACCTGAACTAGTGATTGGGAGTGAAGTAGTTGAGCGTGTTGACTGCTTCACTTGTCTTGAGAGTCTCATCAGTAACGATGGCCTGGTGACTGACGAAATCTCAGCACAGACACAGAAAGCCCGATTGGCTTTTGCCAACCTGCGTCACTTATGGCGAAGGCGAGATATCCGTTTGCTGACTAAAGGTTGAGTGTACTGCTCAGTAGTTCGCTTCGTCTTACTTTATGGCTGTGAAACATGGACAGTGAGAGTAGAAGATATTCGTAGGTTACTGGTTTCCGATCATATGTGTCTCTAAAGCATTGCTCGTGTATCGTGGGACAACCGAGTGAGCACTGCTGTTATTAGGAAACGGGTGCTAGGTAAGGATGGCAGATCAATAGATGAAGTAATGAAACTTCATCAGTTGAGGTGGTTGGGACATGTGATACGTATGCCTAACCACCGACTGCCTCGAAGAGCTATGTTTTGTAGTGTAGGAATAGGTTGGAAGAAAGTTAGGGGCGACCAAACCAAAACATGGAGGAAATCTATGAAGTCACTGACAAGTGGACTGAGTCATGTTGGTAGAGGTAGGCTACCTAGTTGGAGTCCGCGAGACGAAAATCACTGATGGTTAAAGACCTTGAACGACATAGCTCAAAACCGTTTGCAATGGCGTAGGTACATCCACTCTTTGTATTCTATAAAATTCTAGTTTTCTGAATCACTTATCACCTCTCTTTCTCTAAATTTATCTCAATGACTTATACTTCTTGAATAATATCTTCGAACCCTAATCTCTCCGTTTACTGCTAATATTTCTATTACCACTACCACTATGCGAATTGAATCGACAATTCGATTTCTGTGTGCTAATTTGGTTAGAGAACTTGAACTGATGTAAGTCCGTACGAAGTTCTACGTTGTAGCTGATTAAAATGTACCGGGAATTTTGAGGGCATCGATAGTTTTTGTAAGAAATCCCCCATTTAAATCATTCCTTTCTCATAATGTAAAGTTTTATCTCTACGGTATTCAGGTTTTATTCTCTATTTCATCACATAAACATTGGTACAGACAGACACTTGAAATATTTACTCGCCACAGAAATTATTGAGTTTTCGTGAGAGTTATGATACTGTCCAGAAATGCCCAAATCGAAACATGTGGTTTTTTATAGAGGGTCAATCCTAGTGCACATTGGCGTGGATCAGGGTTAGGAGATGCAGTCTCATGGTACTCGATGACTATATTAATAGATTCGTGCGCCATTCTTTCGGTCAATATCCTGAAGCCGATGTGCATCAGTGGTTTGGAATCATGGCTTACCACCAATTTACTTTAACCTATTGATAGATACTTGCTTTTCGGTCTTCTCTATTTCGTTAACAACACCCTCACCGTAAGAAAACAGATCGTAGAACTCCTAAGGCATTGGCTGTATATGCATGGACATATCAGAACATCTCGAAAGAGACAAAGCGTACTCTGTCTACTCTCAATAATACTAGAGATAATGGGGTCTAGAAAAGACTTAATTCCACCAAGATTAAAGATAAGCCTTCCCTTTCGGTCGTTCATTTCTTTCGATTTTAAGCAAATATTACAAAAGTCATGTAAACAGAAAAGGCACATTAAAAAAAAAATCGATATTTCTTACATAGATTTGAACGTGCAGTTTTATGCATTAAACGTTCAGCCATTGGTAAATGTGTATAATAGAAACGACAATGTTGACGTAATGCACCTTCGACAGGATCAACACACCAACCAGATGGAGTAGAGTCGGAGTGATAAAATAATCCTCTATATATATATTTTTTAATAGAAATAATATGAAAATATACTAAGATTATTATTATTATTATTATTATTATTATTATTATTATTACTGAAACTTAGAACAACACATATAAGCGAACAATATTGTTTTCGATTAGATCGTCATCAGGCTGCTTTACTCTAATATACATGAATATTTATATGAAAATGTTAAACCAATCAAGGCAATTTGAGTGATAATCACAATGAAATGAAAAAGGCAAAAGTACAAGTGGATAGTAGGAAGATGGGTGAACCGATAGTAGTAAGAAAATTTATAAAATATGATAACTAAACTAGGTCATAGGTGGATGAATAGACTTCAAATAATCATCAAAAAACATCAAAAACATTACGTAATAAGCAGATGTGTAAAAATAATAATGAAAATAATAAAATTAAAATAAATAAAATATATATAATGTCAATCGTTAGTTACGTCATATCCGGCCACGGAAGAGATAGGGGTGTCACGAATTTTTTCTGAACACATAAATTAGGGTTGAATGTACGAATTCCTATGGCTTCTGCTATGTGTGTAGGAGACGGGATCGAACTCCGTTGGGAAATGATGATGGAGGTATACGATAGATCACCCGAAAAGATCTAACTTTATCTACAATGTGACCACTATCTACCAGGTGTGCTAAGATAGAACTGCGTATTGTTTTTGACTGACCCTTTGTAAACCATGATCGGAGATGTTCACTCATTCGTTGTGTAAGTTGCCTGGAAGTACGCCCGATATAGCTATCTCCACAAAAGCAGCTGAATTTGTAAATGCACATAGAGGAGGCCAGCTCAGGTAACTTACCCTTCGTTTGAGTAGACATCGCTGGTCGACTGGAGAAAGTCAATGCAAGTTTGGCAGCGTTGAATGTTCTACTAATTACTCTTACTAATCTGTCCTGCAGAGTATCGCAGGCCACATCCCCGTTGAATTGTAACTTTATAAATAAAGGTTTCTTTTGGGCGGTCGAAACCACTGACTTCTTTTTTACGGCAGACATATACTTCTTTATGAATGCGCTGGGATAACCAATCTCGGTTAGTGAGTCGTTGATGAATTCCAGCTCCTGACTTAAGGTTGAACAAATCATATTTGCTCTGTTAGTGAGGCATCTAACCAAATTTCTTTTGTAGCGGATAGGTGTAAAACTACAAAAGTGGGTGTATTGGCAAGCACTGGGATTTTTTCGATATACGCTTCTGCTTAGTGAACCATCATTACGTCTACTTAGTGTGATGTCAAGGAAACTCAGTTTCTTATCGTATTACTGAAACTGTTAATTAATTGTCAGGAGAGGTGGATAAGGCATACACATTGAGGAAAGTACCTTTATGTGTCACAAGCTAAGCTTTAACTTGGAATCTTCAAGGCCAGAGAAGAAGTGGTAGACCGAAGACGACATTGGTCCGAGAATTAGAAGCAGACATGAAAAGAATGAATAGCATATGAAAGGAACTCGATAGGAAAGCCCAGGACAACAATTCTGTTGTATATAGCTGAGGCTTGAAGAACCAAGAAAGCCATCATCCAGAAGATACAGGTGTTTAATGAACAGTTGTCTACATACAAGATACAGAGAATCTGTTGGGCAGACACCAATAGTAACATTCTATTGTGAGATAGGACAAATCAGATTCTTCCAGTGGAGGAAGAAATCAGCACGAAGTGCTAGAAGTAGATAGGACGCATATACAAGAAAACACCAAACTGTATCACATAATAGGCTCTAACTTGGAATCCACGAGGTTAGAGGAAAAGAGGAAGGCAGAAGAATACACTGCACCGAGAACTGGAAGCAGATGCGTGAAGAATGGACAGTAATTAGGGTAGAACTAGAAAGGTAGGTCAAGGACAGAGTAAGTTGGAGAATGTTGATCGGCGGTCTATACTCCACTGGGGTGGGGGTTAGAACCGTACATATGTAATCTAACGACGTACACTGAACAGTCTGGGGATAAGATAAAAAATATATGTACATGGCGGGCTTCTCTATTGAACCATCATAATGCCTCATTGATATCATATAGGCGGTAGAAATATTAGAGGTTTTGAAGATGATCAAACACATAAGTCAGGATAAAAGTTGACGACATTGAAAATTCCCAACCAACCACCGACTGCCATGACAAGCAATTTTTAGTGGTGTAGGAGTATGTTGAAAGAAACCGAGGGACAGCCAGATCAAAACATGGCACGCATCATTGAAGTCACTGACAACTGGACTGAGGTCATGTTGGTAAGTGTAGACTACCTCGTTGGGTTCCACGAGACTATATTAATCGCTGGTTAGAAATCTTTAAAGGCATGGCTGAAAATCGTTTGCAATGGCGCAGGTGCATCCATTCTTTGGTTTCTTTCAAATCCTAATCGTTTGAATTCCTCATCACCCTTATCTTTCTCCTTGTTAAATTTATTTCACTGGAATATATTTGTGGAATGATGTCTTTGATCCCTAATCTTTGCGATTACTACTAATACTTCTACTACCTCAACTACTACAAGATTGACAATCCAATCTCTCTGTACTAATGTGGTGATTGGGTAACTTGAACTTATGTATGCACGTACAGACGAAGTTCTTCATTGTAGCTAACTACTAGCTGATTGACACTGACTGACTCATTAAATCAAGTAGCAGCTCAAGTTCAATATGGATATTCAACGCATGTGAAGATTTATCAGAAGAATAAAATTTTACTAATCATAGTATTACTATTCCTATCGACCACTTGAATCAAGCATATATCGTTTAAAAACGCTCAAATTATTTGCATTACGGGGTTGTGAAGATTGTTAAGTTACACATTTTTTTTTGAAACCATGAATCGATCAATGTTATTAGACCACCATTAGAAACCTGGAAGCACTGGACGGTGAATTGATCAAGTTAGACATTAACACCGTTAGATACTGGCTCAGTAGTCCGATGGTTAGGCGTTCGTGCACAATGCCGAAAGCCCCGGGTTCGAATCCTGCGGGCTGCAGGAGTCGTTGATGCGCACTGCTGAGGAGTCCCATACCAGGACGAAACGGCCGTCTTTCAGTACTTCCAGGTTTCTAATGGTGCTGGTCTAACATTGATCGATTCATGGTTTCAAAAATGTGTAACTGAAATTATTCACAAACACAAACGAACAATCGATCGATTGGAAGTCGATAATAACTACCACTCAAACAAAAAAAAGATTCTTCACTAAAAAATTTACCTTTCATGACACAAATGTTCAACTATACGTGCCCATAGTACAGTGCCCAATGGGCCGACAATACGTTTACGTTCACTGTACGCATTTAACCATGCATGATGACCTTCAACGCATTGTTTACGTGCTTGATTACATAATTGACCAATGGAAAATTTCGTCGATAAATTAAATTTTTTCCATGAATTATTATTATTGATTGATGACCAGAGTTGTTGTTGTTGTTGTTCAGTGAATTTGTGATGAGTTGATTTTGGCCAAAAGAATTGAATGAGCTGAGTAAGTATTGACTTGAAAATCGATAAAGAAATGAGACACAGATAGTTTAGTAAATATTAAAATGAAATAATTAACGGTAAAAACCAAAATATTTATGAGACGACACAAATCAATGCATTGTTGTGTGGGCTAGGATGAGGTCTGAGGCGAGCGTCAGTAAACGAAAAGCAGGAGATTCCTGAAACTTCGTACCTACGTACATCATCTCAAGTTGCCATACCACAACATTAGCACAGATGCAATTGTCAATTCGAATCCCATAGTTAATAGAGGTAGTAGAAGTATTAGAATTAATTGGAGAGATTAATGATCGAATATTATCATTCCAGATGTATACACCGAAGAGAGAAAACGGTTATGAAGAATTCAGAAGAGATTAGCATTTGAGATAACAGTCAGTCAGTCAGATGCAACGTAGAACTTCGTACGTAAGTACATCAGTTCATGTTGCCATACCACATCAGCACACAGATGTAATTGTCAGTTCAAATCCAATAGTAGTAGAGGTAGTAAGGGAATTAGAAGTAATCGGAGAGGTTAGGGTTAGAAGATACTATTCAAGAAGTATGATTCAGTGAGAAAAGTTTAGAGAGTCGAAACTAGAGGTGTTGAAGAATCCAGAAGATTAGGATTTGAGAGAACACAAAGAATAAATGCACCGGCGCCATTGCAAACGATTTTGAGCCATGTCATTCAAGGTCTCTAACCATCGATTATTATCATCTCGCGGACCCCAACCGGGTAGTCGACAATTACCGACATGGCTAAGTCCACTCGTCAATGACTTCATGGATTTCTGACATGTTTTGGTTTGGTCGCCCCTAACTTTCTTCCAATCTACTCCTACACTACAAAACAAAGTTCGTCGAGGCAGTCGGTGGTTAGGCATACGTATCACATGTCCCAACCACCTCAACTGATGAAGTTTCACCACTTCATCGATTGATCTGCCATCCTTGCCTAGTACTCGTTTCCTAACGACAGCATTGCTTACTCGGTTGTCCCATGGTATACGAGCAATGCTTCGAAGACACCTATGATCGAAAACCAGTAACCTACGAATATCTTCTACTCTCACTGGCCATGTTTCACAGCCATTTGAGATAACACAAAGAATGGATGCATCTGCGCTATTGCAAACGATTTCGATTCAGGTGCATCCATTCTTCCACAGATCTAATCTGTGAAACAGTGAATCAATATAAAGAGAAATAGTCCAATGGTAGTTAGTAGGTTCATACGTTATTTTGATAGAACACTGAGAAGACGTATAGTTGATGACTTGAAAAATGTTGTGGTGTATCTGCGCTGGGAGTAACTATGACTCTCTTAAAGTAGCCAAATGCCTCGTCATCTAATTGAATAGGTTAAATTAGGTGACGCGCATAAATGAAGCTTTTTGGGGGTTGTGGTGGCGGCTACCTCTTCGTGATCCTGCCAGGCAACGTGGCGTTGTTTACAGCGCTGCGGCAGAAAGCCGTCCTAGCATGGTTCAGAATAATAATGATACGTGTTCATGGTCGCAAGGCTGTGGATGCGGTTAGCCACTCTGGGGATTAGGACTGAACGCCTCTAAGTCTCAATCCCGTCTATCGAGCGTAGGTAAATTCCGATAATGGTTTGAGGACTTGTCCCCTATCATTCCGTAGTAGCAAATACCTTGAAAGGGATGTAGCTTTGCAGGATGATTGAAGGCAGCCCTAGACGTTCTGTTTGGGGAAGCAGCCGTAGAGATCTTGGACTATTGACGCCGAACCTATGTGGTTGTCCCGAACACTGTGCATCTCGATGTAGTGTGTAAACTGGCGTCGAGGCCCCCCCCTCCTTGTGTTGCCTAAACAGCAGCGATGTTCATGTGCAGCATGCTTGTCGGTTAACCAAGCATAATATTGATGCCTTCAAAAATGTTGTGGTGTATTTGCACTACGCACATTTCTAACAATCTAGTCACACATACGTACACTTGTCAAGGCATTTTTATATGAAGATGAATAAAAGGTCAATAAAACAAAAGTTCAAATAGACATAAGGTGATAATTGTAAGTGAAGCAGAGAGAGAGAGGAAATTAACGTACTATATATATACATAAAGGATAAGAAAGGGTAGAAATTTGTCAAACAATAGTTCAATCGATATCATGGAGGCGATATACATCATTGGTTTGAAAGTTGTATTTTCCGATTTTCCCAGATGGTGAACCTCCGTGTCTACTCATTCAGGTTTGGCGCCGATCGGACACCCATTTCATGTCCTCTAAATTTTTTGAATAAAAACTCTTTTACGAGAGTCAGTCAGTCAGTCAGTTACAACGTAGAACTTCGCACGTACGGACATCAGCTCAACTTGCAATATCACATTAGTACACAGAGATCGAATTGTCAATTCAAATCTCATGGTAACAGAGGTAGTAGAAGTATTGGCAGGAATTGGAGAGATTAAGGTTCGGGCATATCATTCAAGAAATAGAATCTAGTGAAATAAACTTAAAAAGAGAAAGAGGAAGGTCATGATGAATTCAGAAGATTAGGATTTGCGAGAACACAAAAAATAAATGCACTGACGCCATTGCAAACGGTTATGAGCCATGTCAATCAAGGTCTCTAACCATCGATTACTATCGTCGCGCGGGACATGACCAAGTAGCCTGCATCTAGCAACACAACTCAGTCCATTTGTCAGTGAATTCATAGATTTCTGCTATGTTTTGGTCTAACGGTCACCTATTCCTACACCACGAAACATACCTCGACGATGTAGTCGCTGGTTGAGCATACGTAACGTATGTCCCAACCACTTCAAATGACGAAGTTTCACTACTTCATCTATTGACAGGCAAACAGATACAACGCAGAACTTCGTACATAAGTACATCAGTTCTGGTTGCCATAACACATCAGCACACATACGCAACTGTCAGTTCAAATCCAAGAGTAATAGCGATAGTAAAATTATTAGCAGCAATGGAGAAGATTAGGGAGCAAAGATAAATTTAGAATGAGAAAGGTAGAGATTATGAGGAATGCAGAAGCTTAGAATTTTAGAGAACACAAAGAGTGGATGCACATGAGCCACTGTGAACGATTTTGAGCCATGTCATTCAAGGTCTCTAACCATGGGTGACTTTCGTCTCAAGGACCGCAATGTGATAGCCTACATCTACCAACATATCTCAGTCCACTTGTCAGTGACTTCATGGATTTCTGCCATGTTTTGGTCTGGCCACCCCCAGATTTCTTCCAACCTACTCCTACACCACAAAACAAAGCTCGACGAGGCAGTCGGTGGTTCGGCATATGTAACACATGTCCCAAATACTTCATCTATTGATTTGCCATCCTTACCAAGAACTCGTTTCCTAACGATAGCATTGCTTACTCGGTTGTCCCACGGTATACGAGCAATGCTTCTTAAACATCTATGATCGAATACTAGTAACCTACGAACATCTTCTACTCTTAACGACCATGTTTCACAGCCATATAAGAGAACGGAACGAACTGCTGCGCAGTACACCCGCCCTTTGGTTAGCAAGCGAATATCTCGCCTACGCCATAAGTGACGCAGGTTGGCAAAAGCCAATCGAACCTTCTGTATCCGAGCTGAGATTTCGTCAGTCACCAGGCCAACAGCACTGACGAGACTCCTCAGATAAGTGAAGCGGTCAACACGTTCGACTACATCACTCCCTATCACTAGTTCAGGGGGCCGATGCAGCAACCCAATCTTGAAGCAACATTTTGCATTTCGAAGGTGAGAACCGCATCCTGAACTATGACTTCATCTATTATTTTCTGCCATCCTTAACTAGTACTCGTTTCCCAACAACAACAACAACTGCATTGCTTACTTGACAGTCCCAAGATGGAGAGACCATATACTCTCGCCACACTCTCAATCCTACCACCACCACCACCACACAGGGCATTTTGAAAAAAACGATTCTTTCACAATTAAAATGACAAACCTTTTTATCATGATCCATTGGCATTCGTTTATTACTTTTTATTGATAATTTTGAATGAATCAATGCATTTAAATTCGGTAATGACAATGTCCATTGTTCACCAGTTTTCCGATAAGCAAAATGAATCAATTCACGATAAGTGGACAACAATTCCAATGATGGCGTATTCTTCTTATCCAATGTACGCGATGATGATGATGATGATGATGTAGACGATGGGGATATTACATTTTGAGAATAATTATTCTTCTTAGTAAGCAATGCTTCAATAATCGTATGTAATTGAATGAATTGTTGTGTGAGAAAACAATTCGATAGGTTAGTTTGTTTACTGTTGATTAATTCAAACACGAAATCTTCATTATGATTATTAACAGGATGATCAATATTCACTGTGTCAGATGATAAACACATTGACCATATGAATGATGCATGTTGATGTAACCAGCGTTTTATACCGGTCAAATTATTCCAAAATGTTAATGAATACTAAACAAACAATGAATAATAATGGAGAAGAGATAAAGGGCAAAGAAAAACGAGAATAAATCTTGTTTTTATTATTGAAATCAAGAATCAATTCTTGTTAGACGGCTATTAAAAACTGAAAAGGACTTTTAAGCGGTGCGCCACCAAAAGAGTCCAACCCTGTCCGGTGTGGGCAGTCAGTCAATCACCGAAGACAATAGGTGAAGTTGCGCTAAACCTTACATTGATCAAAGTTAGAGATTAACA